ACACAAATGTAAGGGGTGAAATCCTTACCATACTCTCCACGCCGACTAACACCTCACAAACACACACACACACACGTTCCATATACATATTTTATTTCGTTGAAAATGTGCCTGAACGCGTAAATCCGATGCCGGGCACCGGTGGCCCAGACGTCTAAAGGGCCGAGTCCCTTACGCATGTCAGAAACCAAAGGTCATGGGTTCGAATTCCAGATTCGCCCTAATTATGTGTCTTGGTCGGTCTGCACCATATTCGTGCTCGGGATTTCACCAAATTGGTTAACTGATTTGACCTGGGTTTTACTCACATATCAAGCTAACAATGAAACACTGTTCAAAAAGCCATTAAATCAAACTGACTGACTCGAAAAGGTATTTGCAGATAACCCGCGAAAGCACAATCCTCAGACAATAGGACAATAACAACGTCTCTTAAAAGTTTTGCAAAAACATACTGTTCGAATCTGTAGCACTTAATCCAATTTAAGTATTGATATCTTCAAAAGGTTGACATATTAAATAATAGAATATGAACTGTATCAATCGCCCGATGAGTCGTAAAATGCCTGTTTACGGGGGTTTGTTGACACGCTGTCAACCAAATCCCAGTGCCCGACGACCCGATCCATTATGCCTTCTCTTCCGATCAGCTCAGGATACTGGTGGCACATTTAACGGTCCTGGTCTGTAAATATGAAAACAGCACTTGCGCATCACCTCCTTCTCATATTATAAGACTTGTCTGAGGATGAGCAGCAGCGGACGCATTTGAATGTGAACCCCGTTTGTTGTGTCATAAATCATTGATCCCTAATGGCTTGATTTTTGATAGCTCGATATTAAAGATTGCAAAATAATTAATAAATAAATGCCACGAAACGGTTGTAAGACATACTGTTGTACAGACGACGTGTAGAGACGCATGGATCGATTATGTGTATTTGTATAAACTGGTCACGTAGCTCATGAACATTCAGATCGATTAGCTACACCTTACTCAACGCTGTGAATTATAGTGATGAGCAGGCAGGGTGCGTCAGTTTAACACCGCTTTGAATAGAATTCCAGTTATATCACTGTCTGTCATTACCTAAGTGTGGGAGGAAAGTGGTGAAGGTGATAGTTAAACCCGTTAAGCAATGTCTTGAAGAAAACAAGGATCATAATTTGCGCGAAACTGGGATTCAAATCCGCGCTCTTCGGAGTAATCACAGCAGACTTAACCACCTTTGCCCCCTGTGCAGAGTGCTTTCGAATAAATAAAAAATGAACATTAATCGAAATATAATTTCTTTATTACGTGTCTGTTGTTCAAGAATACTTGACTAGACAGTTTCATGTCATGCGCAAAATGTGTCGAGTCAATCATTTTAACATTTGAGCAATACACGAATCTACTTCTAGTAATTACCAATTGACAAGTTTAACTTTTAGCTATTTATTAATAGATTGAGCGTAGACCTAACACATATACCACCGTCTCACTTACCTGTGGAGAAACGGATTTAAAAAGGACACGTGTTCAGCACATATATAAGTGAAATGGAAACATTTAAACGTTTCCTTAAAACTTCATATACATGACCGCATATCATGCACTTGTCTTGATTTGATTTGTTTTAGAATAAGACATTAACTGCATAGCACGTGTCACGTTTGTGGTAACGGTACATGTAAATTTGCGATTCCATGTTTAAGTACCCAACTGGGTCCCGGTGTACCAGGCTAAACCTTCCCATGGCCAGTTCGTCCCCGGGGAGGTTATAGCCTAGGCTAAACCTTCCCCGGGAAAGGAATGTCCTTGGCCAGTTATTCCCCCCCCCCCCCCCCCCCCACACACACACACACTTTGGCCAGAATTTCCCCACAACCCTCAAATTTTAAACTTAACTCAGTTTGGGATGCTTCAGCATAGGCCAGATCCTCCCCACTGTGGATTTCAGATTTACTGCACATAAAAGGGGATCATTCAGCCTAGATCCCCCACTCCCTCCCCTCCCTGAATTTCAGATATACTGTACACGAGGCCATGCAACTTGGATTTGGGGATCCTGGATGCGAGTAAAAGGTGCAAGTGAACAATATACATATTTTTTTTAAAATTTCCAGTTGTCCTTCCCATTAAGAATGTTATACATACCTGGGGATACCCTGCAGAACCTGAACATATAAATCCCGAGATGCCAGATGTCATATTTGACAATTTATGTAGTTTTGAAATAACATACATTTTGATCTAACAATTGCCTGAGTATTTCAGTCAGTGAAAACAGTTTAGCATGGGTATTTCTTAGCATAACCGCCGCATTTAACTCTTCAGATATTTGCATTATTATAAGCGTTAAATCCTATTTCAATGTAACTGACATGTGTTTGAAGGAAACGCTTTTCATGACATCTTCCATATAATTGTTTTGACAAAAAACAGCCTAAAATCCACAGGAGGAGCCTCAGCATAAACGACGGGTGTTGTTGATTTGCATTTGATTTCCTTAGAGTACATAAACAGAGAGATTTATAATTAACGGCAGTATTCCTTGGTCACGCTACACTTATAGACATGTATATATTAAGTAAGATCTTCATCTACTTGAGATACATCATACTTTCCATTTTCACGGCTACCCAGCTACCTGATTTCATCACCTTTGCATTAATGATTTATACAGACTTTCTTACTTACTTACTTACTTACTTACTTACTTTGGAGATTTAACGTGCGCTTTCCGACTGATGCGTATTTCGCAAACGGGCCCGGCCATTTAATGTGTTTCCGAAAGGGGCGAAAGTGGTCTGTGCAACCCAAGAGGGGGTTTAGGGGTTGCTTATATAGAATTTGGGAATTTTGAGATTTGGAATAGATGCCATTTCCAAATCTCAAAATTTCTCAGACTTTCTTATGAAATAGTCGGAATCATACAAATGAACTCTGCTTTAAGAATACGAGGGGCGTTCAATAAGTTTTGCAACTTGGGCGTTTGTGTTTACACAAACAATGCCAACTTGTGGCAGGTGTGACACTAGTCATAACATCAGGTTGACACGTGTCATAACAAGTTCCAGACACAACAATAAGTTAGATGTGGTCACAATCATGGATTCTCTCAAACATGAACAACGCGCTGTAATAAAGTTCCTCACATGCTCCAGTTCACAAGTCGAGAATTGCACAGGCCGCCATATGTGAATGTGCATTCGAACAGTTAAATCACCCTACCTAAAGCCCAGCCCCCAGTGACTATTTCCTGTTCCGGCAAATGCAATCTGCCCTACGTGGAAGACGCTTCCAGGATGACGAGGACATAAAGGCTGCCACAGAGGCGTGGTTGGAGGGCCAATCAGAGGATTTCTATAAAAGTGGTATTAAAACTTCAAGGACAAATGGAATAAGTGTATTGAGGTGAATGGGGATTTTATTGAAAAGAAAAAGTTCAAAAGATATTCTGCGACTTGGTCTTATATTGAAGTTGCAAAACTATTGATTATAGAAGGAATTTTGTCGCGTTCATTTAAACATACATAATTGAATTGCTTCCTGTGTTAATGGGGGTGCTGCCTGTAGGGCATCTGCACGCAGGAGGCGTAATTCAAATTGACATATCGTCTTTACTAGCGTCAACAAAATCAGTAAATGCATTATCGTGTCACTGGGGATTCTGGTCCATCGATCACTTGTTTGTCTTGTTTGTTTACAGGCCGCTGTCGCATGGCAGCAGTACTGCAGCGGCGGCGCCAGGCAATAAATACTTACCCTTATTTATGCACATTGTGTAGGGGGCACGGGTGGCCCAGTCGTCTAAGGCGCCGCGATTCGCTGTGCAGAGTTGCGTCCCTTGGGCACGCCAGAAACCTATGAATGTGGGTTCGAATCCCGGTTCGCCCCGATTATGTTTCTAGGTGGGTCAGCACCATACCCGTGCTCGTGGGTTTCACCGAAGTGGTAACCGTCTGAGACTTGCATCACTTCGGGCTTTCCCCCCACATTAAGCTGACACGCCGCGATATAACTGGATTAATGTTAAAAGCGGCGTTAAACCCAACTCACTCACTCACTATGCACATTGTGTGAATAGCTGGTGCTACCGGTAAGCCAGGAGGACATGCTTACACAATTCGCGAACACCTGATGTCATCACTGATTTTTAGTGGTCCATTTCATATGGATTTCAAAGCTATTAGCCTGTAAGCCACATAGAATCTATTTCGGCGGATAATCATGACTGGTTATGACGTTATATATTTTCATTGACATTATCTTCCCGATGTGGAATAATGAGGACATTAATACCATCTACAAATGCATATATGTGTCTCCCTACTTCCAGTTTCATTGGTTCTTTCAAGGTTAAATGTTTTGTCCTACAAAAAATGGTACAGGTAAGCGCCTGTTGTGAAATGAGAACAGGGCATAATCCCCTTTACATGGGCGCATTTATATTAATACTTCCGTTTTCAAGCACTCAAAAATATTAATTTTGTATATCTGAGTTAGTCTGGGACTATGGTAGTTGGATGAGTGAGCGTTGATTCAAGCCAAAGACATTTTACAAAATTGTCATGATGGCCTGTCAATAATCGAGTCTGGATGAGAAATCAGTGGCGTTGTGTATACTATGAGTAATGGCATACACTGTCGTTGTACGATGACGCAATCGACCAACAGGCTGAGCCTGATTTCCCAAACCAATTTAGTCCCCTGTTTGGAAGACGCAATGTTTATCTCTTCATAAAATATACATGTTTTGCGATGGGTGAAGTGTAATTATCGTATCGCATATGGAAGTACGTAGCAGAGGATCGATTCTATGAAAGGAATATTTTTAACATTTGTAGATTGAAAAAAATGCTGTAAATTCTATGTACAATCTTGACATTATTAAAAGTCTTCACACAAGTGTCTGAATCAATCACTATCCGGATAACCGGGTTTCATCTAGTAGACCCATATGTCTCAGAATTAACACAGAAATCATGTTTTATCATACAAAAGCTACTTTATTCACAACAACAACAATAATGATGATAATAATACAAATAATAAAAAATTTATAAATATTTTAAAAATCAGTTTAATAGTGTCACATGTACATGTATGTTTATGCTTAAGAATCGCGAATTTGTAAGCCATGCAACATGGGAAAAGGCCTCGTTTTGTTCAGTTTCTGTACATAAGCCTAAGGCCAAATATATTGTGGTTGTGCCAAAGTTTGCACAAGGGAAAGGTAACAATGGCTATGTCAGTGGGTACTTGTAGTTCCCTAGACAACCAGGGTATAGGTACGGCAATAGTCGAATATTTTTGCTTGGATATTTACACGCATGTTGGTTTATTCAAAATACATTTCATTCGGTTTTACGTGACCAACTATATACAAAAAAGTACTCTTTGCTACAAAGAGGGTCAGTGGGGTAGTTTATTATGAGGACCGGGTTTGATTATTGGTTGGAATATTGCAAAAAGCGGCGTAAAACAATAATCACCTACTCATTCTTTGCTGCAACGACATAATACCAATACATATCACCTTTAGAGGTGAGGCGAAATGGAGTTTAACGTCGCGTCCAAGATTATTGCACTAATATAGCGACGTACATGCACGTGTGTGTGTGTGGCTGCCTGTACTAGTACGGACTAATGCCGATTTTATAGTGCTAGCCGACTGAGATCACGTTCCGCAGTTTATCACGAATATTCCACTCATACACAGTAAACTGACTCCGAGCCACCCGGTCCTTGTTTTAGCCCCTTAATGCCAAGTGCCAGGCAGGGTAACATCAAGTACCATCTTTATACGTCTTTTGGTAAGACGCGGCCGGGGATCGAATCCCCCGATCGACCTCACTCCGGGAGACGCTCTACCACTAGACCACGCAGCCGGTCTATCACCTTTAGAATAATTACAATGACTAATGACAACAATAATAATAATGCTTATGATGTGCTAAGATTAACGCAACAAAGCATTTACTGTGTGGCTGAGTCGTCAAATAAAAATGGTTTTATTCTTGATTTGAAGATATCAAGTGATGGGACATTCCATTTCTGAGCAGCAGTAACTCCAAAAGTTTTAAAACCAAAGGATTTTATTTTCCATGTGGTAATGACAAGTTTGTCACCAGACAGCAATTTCCGAGATGGCTGGTACACATGGACACGTTCTTGAGATAAGATGCAACTTGACGTCAATTCTCATTGCAAGATCGAAACACTGGGAATATGTCTGTTCTTACGTTTGACTTCATTACAATCCTTGCCGCACTGTTTGGGATTTTCTGGAGCATGATAATGTTATCCTTGGATATTCACACCAGAAGATTGGACGAAACTGAATTTGCTACACGCCAATTGCACCTAAAGCAAACGTAAAATGTGCGTCTTGTTCCCTCTCATCCTCAACGGCTTCCGGGAATGCTTGAAAGTCACTCTCGATGACCTGTAGACGTTTCTTGTGTCTGCAAAATGACAACAAGTAATCAGTCAGTCATATTTCGTTACTTGTTGCCGGGCGTTATAAAAGCGAATGTATTTTGGTCAATCTATACACAACAAAAAGACATAAGTACCTCTTAATGCATATGATTATCAAACACGACACTGCCAAAACAGCAAACAGGACAAAGCCGGATATCAGCCAAACCGCCAAACTTTGACCTGTGAAAAAGAAGGTGTGATTATACAAATATATCATGGGAATCGCAGGATACAACTTGTATTAAGGGATTCTTCACAAACGTGTACAAATTGCTGCTTATTTTACCAGAACGGCAAATACAAACATGTGCTTGTATGACTTTAGACGTTGAACATGAGGTAGGAACAAACACAACCGTCATCTATCAAATGATTTCGCTGTAATTGAATACATACCTGATGAGTCGTCATTGAGATTCACTTTCGAACAATTGTTAAAGTTCAGAGTACAGAATTGCTGCACGCATTCGAAGCTACAGGAGCTCTCCTTCAGGGTTTCTTTAATTATATCAATACAGACTGAAATATTCTCAGTTTTACGTGCCAAGCATGCAGAATGTTCTTTAAAAACAATCTTTTTCATCAGTTCACATTGATTTTCAGTTATGCTGGACTCAAGGCATTCATCAAAACAGTTAGGTTTGGTTGGACGTGTACAGTACGAGTATTGAGTACACACTGAAGTGAACTGATCACACGATATGCATTTTGGTGGACAGAATTCCTGGCATGATATTCCTGTTCGTCCATTCTCACACCCGCTGGAGCATTTTAGTTTCCCGCTTTCGTATTCACACTTTCCATTCAGACAATTTTCATTGCAAACTGAATCACATGTTTCCACAGGGATGGACTTCCCACACTGTTTCGGGCAACTGAAACACTTGTTCAGACTGGGATTGCAGACTTCTGAACACGGCAGACAATTCACATTTGCATCGCTCACCGAGCAAAGGTGTGGTCCTAAAATTAGAAACAATGATACGTTTTGGATATTATGTATACAACAAAGCGTCTTAAATGGTGAGTGATCATGCTTGTCGAAACTATACCTAGCGTCATTATTGAAGGATCACCTAGTTATGCAGAGTGTCAAACATATACCCATACATATACCAACAAGCGTCAATGGGTCCGAGTGTGTTGACACTGTGATCAACAGTTAACGAACAAGTGTTTATGCTTATGTCACACTGCTTTTATGAAACTGGAAAAATTGACACCGACTATTAAAACAATGAAAAGTGCATGATTGAAGGTGATGGAAAAAGCTACCCAAAACACACGCCTGAAATTATTAAAGAAACCAGTGGTTTAGCCCGTATAGGACCAAAAATTAACAAGGAACCGTCAATGTGGGCTTTAAATGGTATAGTCCAGATACAACTGAACAACGCTCTTTGAAGTTGAAGATGCTATGTTTATTGCAAATACTGGTATCTCTAAATAATCCCCTGAATACCGACGCAAATTATACATAGTAAGCAACTACCTATCCAAAAAATTAGAAACACTCGTGGTCAAAACAGTGTTCTGTGTACTTAGCAAAACAATGATATCTATTTTATTGAAATGACACGAAAATATGTATGTTTTACCTTTGCTTTTAATAATGCTTTGCATATAATGTGCCAACAGCTTATCATGTGAAGCATGATATTGAAATGTTGCAATCCTGTTACAGCCGATAACATTTACAATAATATGCAATATGGTATACTGGTATACTATTGGTAAGCCATTGACAAGGGCATAAGAAACCTTTTAGTTAAGATAACCAATAGGACCCAGTGAGTGACAGTCCCCTGGTATAATGTTTCATAATCACATGGCATTAATGGCATCATGCTGGCGAGTACCTGAAAGAGAGCAGGTCCCTTGTCCATCTTTGCACGAAGTACAAACTGCGGTGTGTTGGTCACAGGCTTCACAGTCGTCAGGACAAAATTCTTGACAGTAAGAACCTGTTCGTCCTTTTTGACATCCGACGGAGCATTTCGGATTTGCGGCTATGTATTCACACGCTTTATCAATACACTTGTCACTGCAGACGGACGTACATTCGGATTTTCTGTCACAATGTTTGGGACACTTAAAACATGTGTTGTTCCGCGGATCACAGGTGGAAGTACACGGATGGCAGTGGACACGTGTATCACTGATTGAGCAGTGAGGTGTTCCTGTAGCAAAAGAAACAATAGTTACCTGATAGTTCTTACATTGCATACCAAAGACACTCTTGTGATGTTTTCATCTTAATACTCAATGCTAAATCCCTATGTCCATCCAATTAATCCACTGGCCTCCATCATCTCTATCAGTCTGCTTGTTGACTCTGTGTTCATTAGTCATCCACTGGCTTCCAATTATCTTAATCAGCTCTCTGTGTCCATCATCATTTACTGTATAAACTTTGATGTTAATAAGTATATATACCTATGTTGTTTAGCACTATCCCAAAGAATAACAAACTACCTAAATGAACACCAAATTAAAAATCTTAAACAAAACTGCAAACAATCAAATATCTTCACCCCTAAACTTAAAATACCCAAAATAGACACAACACTAGCTAGCCAAATAAATAAACAAACCGACCCAAACATAGCTAAAACTACCACACTAGCATACATACACGAAAATTGGCCAAATTGGTGTCACATTTACACGGACGGATCCTCAGATCCGACCTCCAAACACACAGGTTTCGGAGTCCATACCACACAACCAACTAAAACCACACAATCCTTCCGACTCCCTAACAACCAATCAATATTCACGGCAGAACTAATGGGCATGGCCTCAGCCCTCCATAATCAAGAATCCAAAAACCACAAAAAAAATCCTAATACTTACCGACTCCCTAAGTGGACTGCAAGCCCTCCAAAACAAAAATACCAAAAACCGACCTAAATTAATAAATCAAATACTTAAAAGCTCCAACGACCTAACTAAGGCAGGCAAACAAATAACCTTCTTGTGGATACCCGCCCACGTAGGAATATACGGTAATGAAAACGCCGATAAAGCAGCTAAACTATCCCTCAAAATCCCAGAAATAAGCTTAAACTTACCCATCTCAAAATCAGAAATTAAAAGTGTAAACAAGCAAAAAATCACCAAAAAATGGCATAACCTATATCTAAACTCAAATAGCCAAATCAAAAAAGTGCTCAGCAAACCACTAACCAAACCAAAAATTCTCCATCCATCCAAAAAAATCGACAGAGTAATCACTAAACTCCAAACAGGACACACCAAGCTAAATAACCACCTAAAAAAATTTAAAAAACACACTACAGGTAACTGCCCACACTGCAAACAACCAGAAACCCCAGAACACGCACTCATCCACTGCACACACTACCTAACACATCGAACCGCATTACAAACCACCCTCAATCTAAACAAGGCTCTAACTCTAGAAGCAATACTAAACCCACAAAATAAACTAGAAAACTTCAAGGCCTTAGGCGTATTCTTAATCAAAACGGAACTAATAAAACGCATCTAAAAACACAATAACTCACCAAATCAAAATCACATAAACAAACAAACATCCACCATACCCAGCTCCCTTAGTTCTCCTCCCCAATCCCATCGGCATCTATTCCAAATCTCAAAATTCCCAAATTCTATATAAGCAACCCCTAAAACCCCCCTCTTGGGTTGCACAGACCACCTTCGCCCCTTTCGGAAACACATTAAATGGCCTGGCCGGGCCCGTGTGCGAAATACGCATCAGTCGGAAAGCGCACGTTAAATCTCCAAAGTAAGTAAGTAAGTAAGTAAGCACTATCCATCACTTGCTTGATAAAGGTGTTAGGATCTACACCGAAACGTCGCACTAGTTGTAATAAAGAAGTTGTTCATCCATAAACTCGTCTTACTTCATCACACAAACTTCTAAATGCCACTAAAAGAAGTTAATACTCATTTGTTTGCATGAGTTAAAGCAAAATTGTATTTTGACCCCATCATGTTACATCCAGCTTGGTGATATTACAATTATCTTTCACTGTTTATTTCAACCTGACAGAAAGAAGTTGGGTTGCCTACTGTCCATTCAGTGAACAACATGGGGAAAAGTATTTGAAAGAACCACCCGGTGTTTAATTTATAAAGGTAGATTACTACAACAATTGATACACCAGTGCTTGCTTCATAAATTTCCCGTTTCCTGGCTTGCAATTACGTCACTTAAGGTGTGCAGTTTAATGTCCGCACATATACTGAACAACAAAAGTTCCCGTGACATTGAATAAGATTTAATGCAAAGTTATGTTTTTTTACCAAATCTGAAACAATTTCGGTTTGCAACAGATAAAAGACTCCCGGAAGTGTTCAAATGGTTTAATTTGCCATACTGACTTCAGAAAAATGCGTGATTTCATAAAAAAAACATGAACATGCCGAAATGTCTAGTGTTTAAAGCGTTCACTCGTCCCGCCGAAGACCCGTGTTCGATTCCCCACTTAGGCACAATGTGTGAAGCCCATTTCTGGGGTCCTCCGCCGTGATATTGCTAGAATACTGCTAAAAGAGGCGCAATACCATACAAACCCACTCACTGATAAAGTCGAAATCGTACAATAAACGTTTGTATATATTATGATTATGGATAGTGTCTTGTCGCCTTTATTTCAGTGTATGTGTGTAACTTATGTCGTGTTTTCGCTAACTACCTGAAAGGTATGTGAATAACACTTAAAACGTTATTACTATTGCCCGTAACCGAAACAAACATGTCTCCCAACACAGATGTAAACACCAAATCTTCTAATAACTTCCCTGTTAAGCTGTATACAGTTTTGTCATTATTGTGTATGTCGTTAACCTACATGTGACAATGCAGTTAGACAGAATCTTCGTCCTGTCGGTGTACATGCTACTGGGTGTATATGAAACCAATGATTGAATAGCAAACGCGGAAGTTCGGTACAGGCACAGCCATTGTCAACACAAAACTGAGTATCTTATTTAATTATAATTTGTTATTACATTTTGTTACATTTAATATATATATATTTTTGGACCCACGACGCTACATACACAAGTCATCCAGCATGTCTAACTTGCGACGAGTTTATGTTTCAGCATTATCAGGAACAGATTATTTAATCAAAATATAAAACTTCAACGCCAGATTGACGTCTCGATTATCTGCCGATACAGATTCCGGAAATAGAAAATTATACGAATGTGTCACTGAAAATAATTGATGGCACCAGGTGTCAACGAGGTGGGTTTGCCTGTCTTCCTCACCATCCCCACAATCTGAAAAAATGCCAGGATCCCCAACTCAATTATATGAAATGGTTGGCCGCCTATATTTTGTTGAAAATTGAATATTAAACGTTTTACATGTACATTGTATGTTCACCCATATCCACTTAATAGCTTGACACATAACATAACATTCCATGTCCTTCAGCTGAAATGTGAGCTGATCCCTACGGTGCAACAAATGTAAGACGTGTTACATCGAGGGACTCTGCAGATGATGCTTTTCAAAACAAAAAGAACTTATATCTCACTCAGTATTACGATAGAGCGGATTGATGGCATTTATCCATTCATTATCACAGCAAGTATTAAAGGTTGTATATGATCAGCCTTGGCAAATTGCATTTATAAACACTACAATTTTTTCACATAATTTTCACCTTGCCTTTTGCGCCCAGTGGAGTCGATCGAGATGGTTTGTTCCCTGGTGTTGACATTTTGTATTGTACACGCGATAATAAACGCTACAATAAACCGCTGTTCATGTCACGACCGTGCCACTCAAATGCTTTAACTATGTTTACAGTTTACACACACGCTGGGGTTAACACCTATTTGTGCATCTTATAGTTAGAGTTGTGGAATAATAGCAACTACAACAAGCCTTTAATACTATTATCAAGTAACGAGGGAGGACAGGACGGAAGGTACAGTAGTTTCCCTCTCACACTCCCATGCATGCTTGAACACCCACTCAAATGAACACTGCTGATCACTTAAAGGTATCCGTTGACAAGGCCAAAGGATTTATTTCCAATAATTACTACTAATTGTACTCATTCATATCTCGCACGGAAAATACAAGAATTCTTACACTCGTTTCGTAAAATCAGTATGACACACATGCTCGTATAATAATCTCTATGTTTGTACTGTTCGGAAAGCAAATAAAGATGTGTCTGCGTCACTGCGCACTAGCCACACCAACGCTATTAACTGACACTTTTAAGTAGCTGCATCTTGTTATGGATGGTGTGTAATTAGGCTATTATTGACTGTATAACACAAATAATGCCTCCGCATTAAGCTAAAACAATCTAAAACAAGTTAATCTTTTAATGTGTTTCCTTGAAAGCAGGTAATGACTTAGAATAGACTTGTCTTAGAGAGGTCACTTTTACTTTTGCTGATCTATCAAGTATTGTGCTTGATTTGTATACACGAAATTGCCGCCAGTATTAATCAAAATAAACATTGGTTATAAAACGTAGCGTATGTCAAAGAAAAACCAAGTTCCCCCACGATCTTGTACAGTAACTGCATTCCGCCAAAACTGCTACCCATTAAGTGTACCACAGGGGGAATCCCTGACCAGCACAAAACACATCGTTATCCCATTTAAAATGTAAATATATTACCAAGTAAAGGAATTTAAAATTGTCAAGGACATCTTTTGTTTAATTACGTATTATTTATTTTCTTCAAGTTTCAAATCTTAATCCTCGGCCATAAGTATATGAAACAGGTTGAATTATGTATAATTGCACGCGGCTTCTTCCGAATTCATTAGGGACGTACATATAAATCTGAGGAAATGGAAATTATTGACATGGAAATGACTTTTTCGTGATGATTAGTGTTGATTGCATTATTGCAACGAGACATCTTCCGGTTTTACATTCACTTTCCGAATTAACTAGCAGAGTGAGTTGGGTTTAACGCCGCTTTTAACAGTATACCAGTTATATCACGGCGTGTAAGCTTAATGTGGGAGGAAAGCCCGAAGTGATGCAGGTCTCAGACGTTTACCATTTCGGTGAAACCCACGGGCACGGGTATGGTGCTGACAAACCTAGAAACATAATCGGGGCGAACCGGGATTCGAACCCACAATCATAGGTTTCTGACGTGCCCAAGGGACGCAACTCTGAACAGCGAATCGCGGCGCCTTAGACGACTGGGCCACCCGTGCCCCCGACACCCATGCAGGAGCATTTACTAAAATAGTTTATGAATACTGAGTTAACATTCTTTATATTTATTAAAGAACAACATAATCTTAATGTAAGTCCCATTGGGGATTTAAACACTGGCTTGTCTGGTTCAAACGCGTTTATGTACAGGCTGCGTCATATAACTGGAATAATGTAGAGTAAAAGACAACATGAACTAAACACATGGAGTAAAAATAATCTTTTACTTAATTAAATCTCAAATAATTCTATTTCTATATCAATAATATGATCGTTGCGAAAACCTATTGAGGGAATTTGTATGGAACTTTTAGCAATATTCCGGCTATGTCAAGGTGGGCATAACACGTGTGTATTCGTCACACATATCGTGATAATTTGATTCACTTTAGTGTTATTGATGACAAACAAATGTTAAAAGATCATATCGAAGTACACTTCAATATTGGACATCAACTTTCCCCTGAACCGAAAATTCATGTTTTCATTTGCGATCGTTTCATAGAAACCTATATTAGATTAATTTAAATGTAGCTCTTAGATGGTGAGGTGAAATTGGGTTTAACGTCGCGTCCAAGATTATTACACTTATATAGCGGCGTGCATGTACGTGTGTGTGTTTCTGTGGCTGCTTGTACTAGTCCGGAATGATGCCGATTTATAGTGCTAGCACACTGAGATACCATGCCGCAGTTTAACATGAATACCCCACTCACACACAGTATACTGACTCCGAGCCGACCAGTCCTTGTTTTAGCCCCTTCATGCCGAGCGTCAGACAGGGTAACAACAAGTACCATCTTTTAACGTCTTTTGGTATGACGCGGCCGGGGATCGAACTCAGGACCTTCCGCTCTCCGAGTGGACGCTCTACCACTAGATCACGGAGGCGGTGTAACTCTTAAAACTACTATAATAACTTTATAAAATAAATGAGAATTGAAAAAGGTATACTTTTGTCTTGAATGCAGATGTGCAGAATGAAATCACTTAGTGATACATTTCATACATGCACCAATAGACATTATATGAGGTTCTTAATTTATCACTTATCTGTATGCATAGGTTATATCGGAATCATGGCTTTAATGTTACGCCGAGCATGGAAACATTGCCTGTGTCAATTTCATGTTTCACTGGACGCTTGTAATCTTACAGCAGAGGTTGTTCTTACCTGTTATCCATTCAATGAACAAAACGTGGAGAAAAAGTTGAAAGAACAACATGGTGCCTGAGTTATAAAGGCAGACTAATAAAAGTCACTGATACGTCAGTGCGTGTTTCATTCTTTATACTCATTTCCCGTTTCCTTATCTACAATTACGTCAGTTCTATGTCCGCGTGCAGTTGTTACATTATGTACATTAAGCCATTTGTTTTATCTAGTATTAGGTATCACCTCAAACCTCTGACCCCGTCATACCAGAAGACGTTAAAAGATGAAACATTTTGTTACCCTGCCTGGTGCTTGGCATTTAGTGGTTAAATGAGTGACTGATCGACTCGGAATCAGCACAATGTGCAAAAACCCTGCCTCACTTGATAAACATGCCTAAACGGGTGTCATCAGACACTTCATCTAAAAATACCCTGGGGGCACGGTTGGCCCAGTCGTCTTAGGAGCCGTGATTCGCTGTGCAGAGTTGCGTCCCTTGGGCGCGGCAGAAACCTATGATTGTGGGTTCGAATCCCGGTTCGCCCTGATTATGTTTCTAGGTTTGTCAGCACCATATCCGTGCTCGTGGGTTTCACCGAAGTGGTAAACGTCTGAGACCTGCATTACTTCGGGTCTTCCTCCCACATTAAGCTGACACGCCGCGATATAACTGTAATACTGTTAAAAGCGGCGTTAAACCCAACTCACTCACTCACTAAAAATGCCCTGTTGAGTCAAATACATTGACACAGACACTCGTCTGGTTGTTGGGTTAGTGGTGGTTGCTTCAGCACAGATGACGTATCAACAGGTAGACTACATTTATAATAAAGTAACCAACTTCGTCATATGTCAATTTACGTATGTTAGGGAACATATATGCCGGGTAACAGTAAACAGCAGCTGTGTCCGACGACACGTATATAGCATGACGAAAATCAATAGCCAAATCACAACTAACATGATTCATGTTTTTATTCATCGGCTGATAGCCTATAATGGAAAACCGTGATTGTTGATGGTGACATGAATGGCATCAACAAATCGTGAGTGACTAGTGTTACGCCACTTTTAGCAATATTCCAGCAATATCACGGCGGGGGACACCAGCAATTGGCTTCACACATTGTACCCATATCGGGAATCGAACCCAGGTCTTCGGCGTGACGAGCAAACGCTTTAATCACTAGGCTACCCGACCGCCCCAACAAATCGTAACTCTACGAGGTTAAACTGTAAGGCTTTACATAAGAAGGGTAGATGTCCGATTGGTCATGAGTATGCATTTACTCTACGACGATATTTACAAACTACAAATCACAACAAGGAAGTTAATGTGAATTCGAGGTCAAGACTTGCAGATAACACAGTGAAAGGGGGTGATATAAAAGTTTTATTTCCTTAAGCAACATTCAACAAAGTTAAAATTGAAAAGCACAGTCACAATATAACGCCACGTCGCATGGCCTTCTGACATTGTGTGAGATAACATATGGAGTCATGGTAGGAAAGGTCATGTGCAATCATGTTTTGACAGACGCCGTTTGTATTGTTATCTAGCCTGATAGAGATCCTGTCAAAGCAAACTTCTACCCTTTAAACACTGGTTTTAGGCAAGTACAAAACTAACATTTGTCATTTTGCCTTTTTATCAAAGTAGTGAGTGAGTGAGTATGGTTTTACGCCGCTTTTAGCAATATTCCAGCAATATCACGGCGGGGGACACCAGAGATGGGCTTCACACATTGTACCCATGTCGGGAATCGAACCCGGGTCTTCGGCGTGACGAGCGAACGCTTTAACCACTAGGCTACCCGACCGCCCCTTATCAAAGTAGTGAACAACACAGGTTAGATAAATGTTATTGTGACAATGTGGCCATTCATTTTATTCCAATTATTCCGCAATCTAAAGTCAGAGTTTAGACAAATCATTACAAACGTCACATTAAACCTTCGGCTTTCTTCGGTTTGTTGGTTTTGCGCCAAAGGAGATGGACTTGATGCGTGTCAGGAATTTCAAAACAGTTATTGTTAAGGTACTATTATGGAAATAGTTGAAATCGGAGTGGTCGCCAGAATAGTTTAAAGAAATACACAACACATGAGAAAAGAACGTGATGCTATAATGCACCCGCCAGTATTCCTCTTGGTTGAAGTGCTTCAAGTGTCACCAGACAGGTCTCGTTATTCAGGAACCATTGACGGACTATTGTTTTAACGGAGACACATTCCATAGCATGTAAATACATCAACTTATGAAACATCCTGATTTGACCATTCGGCCAAAGTGTGTGAGGTTCCATGGTAATGTCAATCACGTAGGACAGACAACAACCGAGGATTACCCCCCAACACACACACACACACACACACACACACACACACACACACACACACACACACACACACACACACACACACACACACACACACACACACACACACACACACACCACCCCGTCAACATCCGGTGGTTAGTTTAAGCAAAAAAAACACATTTCTCAAATGGGAAGATGTTCTAGGGCAATAGATGTTTTGTCCAACTGTGGAACTTGGTGTAAGCAGCAGGAACATTTTCTCAAGGCAGATTCTGAGGAATTGGCGTCAGATACTTGTACTTCTCCTTATCTACTTTTCCTTGCGTGAAGTCAGGAGTGGCATATTCGTGTGTCTGATCATGATCCACACTGACATACATATGCACACTTTCAACATATATGTTACCAACACCTTCGTACTCTCTAGCCGGGGTTGACGGAGCAGTGACCTCGCGTGTGCATCTTGAGTCATCCTCTTCCTTCATTGCAGGCCCGTGTCCAGATATCCCGGAGATGGCACGTCTTTCAAAGGTAAGCAGCCTGTAATAAAAATATGTTCTCCTAACAAGTAAATATTTTATACTGTTTTACATGATATTCGGTAGTATTACCTCCCAAGGTTTCATGACACTCAACTATTATGCACTGAAGCTCAACACTGAAGATCGTTGATGGTGACAGTTGATCATGAGTGAGTGATATAGTTTTAATACCACTTTGAAATATTATTTCAGTAATGTCACTTAATCTCTCATTGGTTAGATCCCTGTAACAGTGAGTGAGTGAGTGAGTATATTTTACGCCGCTTTTAGCAATATTCCGGCAATATCACGGCGGGGGACACCGGAAATGGGCTTCACACATTGTACCCATGTCGGGAATCGAACCCGGGTCTTCGGCGTGACGAACGAACGCTTTAACCACTAGGCTACCCGACCGCCCCCTGTAACAGAAACAATTAGTTCAGTTTGTTTCATTTGAACATATGGTCATATATATTGTATTGTTGTTAACAAAACGTTACCCCTAAGTAACACAGTAGAACACAAAATAATAGGAAACACAACCACTGTGGGGATTGCGGTGTTAACGATATGACGACAATGTGGAAGTAGTTATGTGGTCTCGGGGTCGTCGAAAATAATACATGTGGATACAATGGGAACATGTGTTTCACTTTCAGGCTGCAGAACAATAAGTGGGAACCTGTCGAGCTAATGCTTTTTTCTATTGAATTACTTTTCCATGACTGCAACACCTCGCTGAACATTCCCTGTAAATTAAAGGCGCATATAACACGGGGAAGAAAAGGATAATGTTAACTTCAAGATAATATCGTATAGGTTTCACCAATGAGGTTTATTTTTTACCTGGAGGGGGGCACGGGTGGCCCAGTCGTCTAAGGCGCCACGTCCCTTTGGCACGCCAGAAACCGATGATTGTGGGTTCGAATCCCGGTTCGCCCCGATTATGTTTCTAGGTTTGTCAGCACCATACCTGTGCTCGTGGGTTTCACCGAAGTGGTAAACGTCTGAGACCTGCATCACTTCGGGCTTTCCTCCCACATTTAGCTGACACGCCGCAATATAACTGTAATACTGTTAAAAGCGGCGTTAAACTCAACTCACCCACTCACTCACTCACTTTACCTGGTGAGACAACCAAGAGCGCACCTCCTCTTGTAAAAAAGCCCAGCAGCAATGACCAGAAGAAGAATGACAGCAAACACAGGGCCCATTACCAGCCATTGTTCTGTGGAAACAGTAAAGATATATACGTAATCCTCCTATATACTTCTCTTCCGAGTGTTTCAACTGCGTTCCAACTGCGTTTCAACTGCAGCGGTAAGCCTATTTTCATTACCATTAAGATGACCTAGCTCAATGCAAAGCATTCGAATAAGGCCACAACTACATCAAGTACAATCAACGTTGGCATATCAAGGTAGGAGAATTAACTACTTCCTAGATTAAGAGTTATGGATCAATTATGCCCAGAAGGTTCATTCGGATCCAAGAAGTGTACACAATCGGACAATGTATGATATCACCCGGAAAAAAAACAATGGCGTCAGTAAACAATGATGACGTCATATGTTTCCACGACAACCGCCTAGAGTGAAATGAAAAGAAATCAACAAGTTTTTCTGTGAAAAATACAAAGCGAATATAATGTGAATGTCATCATGGAGAAAAATTGTTACTCACCACGTGAACTTAGATAAAACGTTTACAAGTAACTTTAGTACCGCCTAAAAAATCCAGACAATCAATCGTAGGACACCAGATATATTTTGCAATTTACTGGGTCATTGATTCTTTCATTTACATACCAGGAATATGATACTGTCGTTTCACGCAAGACACACCAGGTTTCGAAAAGTTATAAACCGCCACCTTCAATATCATATCAAGTATGGAAAAGTTAGCTGACACATAGTGGTTGAATGGGCTATCAAACATAGATCATTTCAAGAAAATGCAAGATGCACCCAAACCCAAATGACAAGGACCCCAAACTATTTCCATTACATAAAATAGTGTATTAGCAGTCCTGGTTGTGCTAGTTGAAGGGACGTATCATTCACTGAAGATTTAACTCATGTAGTGACCTTCGCTATGACGTTAGACATGGAATTATTGTAATTTGATTCGTATACGTGTTATTGTATGTGCGGTATCTATTTTACGGATAAATGTTTATTGAAGACAAAGCCTTAAACTAGAAGTGTTGAAAAATATGATATGTACCGTGTAATCACAGTATGAAGTCACCAACTGTCAAAGACAAACATTATTTGAGAGAATTATTAATCGCAGTTTTAATTTTTTTTTATCAGGAATAGAAATATCATTAAAATGATAAACACTGCAGGTGTTTGTTATTGAAACAAGGGGTAGGGATAATGTAGCAATAAGTAAACGTTACGATTAAGAGTACCACACAGTTCTTGATTTGAATTCGTTGTTTTTTGTAAATAAGTAGACGGACAACCCTATGAATGCCAACTTCAGGTTTATTGCATCAGCGACGTTACGATTAAGAGTACTACACAGTTCTCAAGCTGGAAAACTGTGTAAGAATCTACATCGAAACTTACCAACTTCTAGAATGCTAATCAAACAGTTATTGCAGCATGGTTATTGAAACCTGGGTTCTTGTTTCCCAACAATGATGTGAAGCCAATTTAACTATTATATTGCAACAATATCGACAAAGGTTGCGTAAAACGATACTCACTCACTCAATCTTGTGATGACATGATCTATTCAATAATATATTATTCGCTTCAGATTAAGCGTTGACCAGAACTATTTGAAACATGTACCAGAAGATACAGCACCTGTTCTTTTAGGACTCCCAATTACTTCTTTGCACTCTGATGTAAACTGATCACAGCTTTGGCAGTCTTGTGCACAAAACTCTTGACAAAATATCCCTGCTCGCCCATCTTGGCATCCCTCAGAGCATATGAGCTGTCCTCGCTGATACTCGCATGTTTGGTGAAGGCACCACTGACTGCACACAAACTCACAGGGATCGGTACAGTTAATGGGACACCTAAAGCAGGCGTTTGTATTTGATGTGCAGATGGCACTGCATGGGAAGCAATGCACAGTTGTGTTACTGATCGAGCAGAAGGATATTGCTGAAATGAAATTATAAATAATACGTCACTATCTATCCATGACTAATGATTTCAGGACCAAACAAGTATATATAATTAGTTTTTTTCATGGTGTCCTTTGATATTATGCATGACTTTATCGGCTCATAGTTATATAAGTTAGTAGAAACACATAATATTTTTAGTGTATAGCTATGTTACCCGTTGACGACACTAAATTAAATTTTGAAACGAAGAGAGTATTTTTTCAATGTCATGGAGGAATTTTTCCTAAATTATTTGATAACGCTATAATTGGTAACTCGGTGGGGTCGGGGTCGGTGTCGGTGCTGTGTATTTAAGAAACACATTGTTATCGGTATTGAAAAGTGACTGTACTGGTCACAAACATCATTGCTGGAATTGTGTTTCGTCTTTAATGCCAAAGGTTTAGGTTTACAGCTAAAGTCGCCATGGCAATGCTCTTTATGTCTCTTTCCCCTAGGAAAGCATCTGCCCGCGGCGTGCGATTCTCAGTGTGCACTTTGGAGGTCATTAGCGGTATACCGTCTGTCTGCCTGTAAACACTATATGTTCATCTAGTACAGAACATAGCACTAACTTTATGATCTATGTAACAAAAGTATAAACACAACCCTTTGTGAGTGTGGAAATAAGACTCACCTTGCGCCATATAGAAGACAGTTGTAATAGCAATGAGGATAAGTTCCATACTGTCCCAAAATGTCCAGATGCAAATGTGTATAAGTAAGAACGAATTGGATAGAAGTAAGGCGCCCGTACAATTCAACAATAAATAATTCTAGTTTTTCATTCCGTGTTGCTTTGATCTACTTGTAGTGACAATGTGGCATACTTCCTCCTACATCTGTGCTCTGTGTATGTGTTCGTGTGTGTGCGCGTACGTGTTTGTGTGTGCTCGTGCATACGTGTGTGTGCGTGTTGGTGTGCCTACATGTGCGTGCGTGCGTGCGTGCGTGCGTGCGTGCGTGCGTGCGTGTTCGAGTGCGCACTTGCGCGCGTAATACTAACAGCATATTTTGTGTCCTGGCTCTTTATATTTTCATAATGCGATTTCTGCGAATTAGAATCGTTTCAGAATCAATTCGGAATAACTAAACGCAGTTTCGCTTCAGATATACAATATTTTTGTCAACTGGGCACGAAATTGTTGTACAATCGCATGACGACTCACGCTGGTTATAAGAGTTTGGTACTTTATAATTAATTTGTACTTATTTGGATTTTAAAAATAACGTTGAAAGGACATCTATTATTTGGGTACGACAAATGGGCAATGAAGTATCACCAGTATCGTTCATCGTACCAGTGTAAATCCCATCGGGAAAGAGTGCACTTTTGAATCTTCTCGCTTATTGTCATGTGAGGACGACGATAGTTTTTATCGTTTAATTTGGTATTATCTATTAAAATGCACATATTGTGGAGATTCTTGATTTGAATTCGTTGCTTTTTGTTTTGGATTTGTGTCGAAAGAAGTGTCAACAACATGCGTTAAATTTAACACAACGACGGTAGCTATTATCAACAGATGTTGCCGAGAACCAAAATGGGAGAGTGAGAGGGTGAGTATGGTTTTACGCCGCTTTTAGCAATATTCCAGCAATATCACGGCGGGGAACACCAAAAATGGGCTTCTCGCATTGTACCCATGTCGGGAATCAAAACCCGGGTCTTCGGCGTGACGAGCGAACGATTTAACCACTAGGCTACCCGACCGCCCCATAACCGCAATGGGGTGAGACAGTCAACACATGATCCTACATCACTGCCGAGAACATCATCTTCATAAATCCGATGCAGGTTGCTGTGGCCGATTACCCTTCCTATTTTCCTGAGATTGAAAAACAAATGTTTTACGTGGTTCCATGACTGAAATATTGATAACGTGATACATAGCCTATCGATACACGTGCCTGACCTGTAACATCCACATTTAAACTGTCGGTGGAAACAGCTTTTGTAGACTAACATTTAGTCTCTGAAATCTTATGTTACACAATATCCTTCTTGACTCTAAAAATATAAAATATTTCCCTATGCTGAATACAGCTAGCTTGAGCTGGCTAGACTTGCTTTTGTATGCGTTTCTAGATTTATTTTTTTCATAAAATAAATATATTCCACGGTCATGATGCAGGACTACAGCCTTTGCATCGGTTCAGTTTATATTTCAACGGTAGCCGAGTCGATATGTTGACACGATGCGCCGCTCATGCGATAGATTTTTATAGTCAGTTTCTGCATACTTTTTCTACAAGCATTATACAGTACTGCCTCTCTGATACTTTAATCGGTAATCCACAGCGGGGAAAAAACCCACACACATTTCCCCCGAGAACAGGAAGCAGTATCACACCACAGAGGTCACGGAGTAGTACTAATTTGAGGAATACTTATACTTATGGCAGAAGCGTCGACGAAAGGAGTTTTAGAACTGAATTAAATTTTTTCTGAAATTGATGTGACGTAAATCTCTTTGCCAATTTTAAACCGTGTCATGTCACAGTTTGGTGTTCGTCGGACATATGGAAATCCAATATAGAATTTGTGGATGCATTTAATTATTGTCTGGCATCTGGCGACTGATGTTAATAAGTGTGACAGTTATCGGAAGATCTGCTGAGGAACAATTGCTTCACATAATTATGTTATTTCACTTGAATCATGTTTTATTTGTTAACTCGTAGTTGTCAGAGGTATGGAGCTGTCCTCAGGCAATCATAGTCTACATGGACACACAAAATGTCGGCGCAATCGGACCACCGGTGGCTATTGTTATAAGGTTAAAAATGCATCTAAAAAACATCAGAAAATGGTAACAAATAAAACCGTTATAGCTGCAATGTGGAGTTACATTAGATGTAATTTGTGACAGAACTTTTAGTTAGAAAGGAATCAATAGATAAAAGACATTTCACATTTATCACAAGTGTATTCCTGACATTTCATATTTATCATTGGATTGGTTCCAGGTTATCGTCCATTAGTTAATGAAACAAGCAGAGAATTTCAAGATATATTTCATTTGGAGCATCCGGGGCGAGTCACAAAATAAATAGAGAGATGAGCAATCTGGCACGTAGGCTTCTGTATTTTTCCGATTACGACACACATGAGTTCATGGTCAGATCTAACCTTTAACGAATGAAAATGAGGTATTGTGACATGTGACAAAGGCAGGCCAGCCCCGAACACTATAAAATGATATCTTCAACATGACGAGAGGAGAGCGCGGTTTGCAATCGATCGAGTCGAATCCTGATCGTTCTAAGTTTTCCCAAGCTAGTGACGAGTCTGGCCGGTCGGATCCTGTCCTGTATTGATAGGTGGGCTGAGAGTATATAGACTATGTGAGTATAAAGCTGGTGTTGCGTTTCTTTATTATGCGAGTACGAATGCGGATAGAGACAACTTGGAGTAAGCGTCGTTAGACCAATCACTCCTTGACTGCGGACAAGGCGAGTTGCAAAGTCATGGCGTAATTGACCATGATGACCAGGAACGGCAATACTTTCAGTAACTGTAGTAGGGTCGCACTGGACGCCCGAAAGCAGTTACCACACTATGGTTAAAATACGGTGTTTTTGAGATCCATAATCCCTGTTTCACACTGAACGGGTCGCACATTTCAGCGAAGATCTGGTTGCATAAAACATGCTCGTGATATAGGCGGAATCGTACAACCGACTCTATTTTTGACAGAAATTTCTTATAAATATGAAAGGGTATTGAGGCGTATGTTCACACTGAACGGATCGCAAATGCAAAACAAAGAACACGTGTTTGAAACTAGAGCTGATTGCTGAAACACAGCCAAGAGGTTGCGGGATCATGTACCATTAACGTAGTCCGAGAAGAAAGAGTTTCATCTTTAACAGGCAGTAGCTCGGTCTTCATTAGGTCTACAGTCGAAATAATTAGGGTTCTGGTCGCTAGTTATTGAGGTAGCCCTGGTACAGGAAACGGCGGAATAAAAAATAATGAATAAATAAACAAAACGATAACAATAGGCATTGAACTCTATTTATGCATTCCTGTTCCGATAGGCCGATTGTGCGTTAAGATTCTTGACTCTTCATGAGTATGATCAACTAGCAACATAACCGCGCTCGATGAGAAACGTCTCTTTGGACTTGCCCTTGCTGTATGCTGAAAGAAGGCACCATTCCACGATGAACACAAAGACAATGAAAAAATCGCATTCACTGTTCTGCACTGCGTATCACGTATATATTCAAGGACGAAGGCATCAATATGTTTAAGTGTTTTTGAAAATTTACTATTATTTGTTGTATATCATGTCGTTATTGGCATGCTTTATGTTTGTGTTCGGGTCTTTTGGTCTCCTTTTAATTCTATCAATGTAATGTTTCAATTATATACACAACATTGCTGTGCTGCAGAGAAACGATGGGTTGATTTACGCACAATTAATAGGGTGCAGATTTAAATACGAGGGCTGGTCAAAATGTTCTAAGCCTAACAAACAAAACCAACAATTGTGAAAATGTTTTTAATTTTATTTTTAAACATAAGCTCACTGCTTTTCAATCCACTTCTCAAATCGATAGTGAAGCATTTCAGTTCCTGGGGTCATCATTAAGGCTTGTTATCCCAGCCTTAAACATAGCTGCCCAATATTTAACAGTGGAATAGCTGGGGCAATTATCCCCATACACTTGTGACATGCGATTATGAATTTCTTGGGGTGTTCTTTTCTCTATAGTAAACAACTTGATGACTGCTCTGTATTTGTTCTTTTGCATTTCTGTGTCCATTTGGACCCCTATCACATTCAACTGGCGGTCACTTATATACAAGCGGCTACAAAAGACAGAACACACTTGCCTTGAACTACTCAAACAATGTACTACATTGACTAGTTCACTTTGTTTTGGCCCATAGTTGAAAGTAAGTCAGGCTTAGAACGGTTTGACCAGCCCTCGTATTTAAGATTTATAATCAACAAGCAATAAACAGTTCAATCTATTTGATATTCACTGTTTTAATTTAAGCAACCTCTGTTTTCAGTGAATACATGGATACATGTACTGCCACTGTTCACAACATTCATACCAGGCTGTTCGATGTTTAGAACAGATCCTACATTACTTTGTTTACATCGACGCAACGTAATTCGATTTCACATGAAATTAACATGTCATATCTTGATATATTAAACAGGAGAAAGCGTAATTTCACTCTTATACTATTAACGCATTCTTCCTGTTGACATAAACGTTTTCGTTGCCTCATAAATATTATTGTGTGTCTAAAGCGATCAGCTCATGTATGCGTCTGTTAAAGCAAGGCAATACAATAGACTGGAGGGCGGGCGAATAACGGGAGCTGCTACGAGCAGTTATGCATGACATCAATAGGAAAGTTTCTATGAATATTGGGCAGTAAACAGAAACAAATTGTGATAACGACTCCTTATCTTATCCGGTTATAGGCAACTCGCTCACACAGATTGCCGAACACACCAACCTCTTCACGGAGGGGAAATACACTGTAAATAAAAGCAACACACTTTCACAATCATAAAAGAAATATCTCCTTTAAGCAGAGTCCATTGTACGAGTCCGACTATATCATGAGCATGTGTTTATGAAACACAAAACCCGGTTGTTGTTAAATCTGGCTGAGGAGTGTTACAACTTAACGTATTCTGATAATACTGATAGAATCGGACAATTAAATTTAAATTTTAATGATTGTTGTGGTAAAACTATTTGTTCAATATTGATCAGTACATATTAACCGATTAACGTATACTACCTAAACGAAAGAGTGGAATTTGAAGAAACGAACAAACAAACAGTGTATTTAGGACAATTTTCAAAATACGTTAATTTTAACGACTATTTGCTTCAACAATGAGCAAGGGGACCCACCTTTATGGGGACCCCACCTTTCATCACACGGTGATTCATTTAACCTACTTGTGAAGATTTAAGAGACGTGATCGAAGTGGGTATATTGGGTGTAGACATCCTTTTCACAACAGAACGTGCTCACATCAAATCGATATTCATCGCCATCTACAGGAACACCTAATAGGGTGAGTATTCATCATGTACCTTACTTATACAAGGTTTCTTCCTACGGTTTTACAAGGTAGCAACACAATGTCGCGTCTGGCGGTGCGATGGAAACCTTGTTCGCCTGTAATGTGTTTCACTTTTCACATCAGGTCAGTTTTTTCTTTAACACACAACTCAAGCACACTATAAAAATAACGCCAACATATTTGAAATTCATCGTTCGTTCCATATATCTGAATCCACATATCCACACATAAAAATGTACCATTGTGAGTAATTTACAGGAGCAACATGGGAGGGCATAGTAACCAGTGTTGTTCCACAAACTTCTAATCTTTGTACCATATAATCGATCTTAGTACGATCAGGGCAATACCTAAATGTGATAACATGGGTCATGGTGACCTGAGTGAGTGAGATGGGTTTAACGCAGCTTTTAACAGTATTCCTGTTTTATGACGACGTGTCAGCTGGGAGGAAAGCCCGAAGTGATGAAGGTCTCAGACGTTTACCACTTCGGTGAAACCCACGAGCACGGGTATGGTGCTGACAAACCTAGAAACATAATCAGGGCGAACCGGGATTCGAACCCACAATCATAGGTTTCTGGCGTGCAAAGGGACGCAACTCTGCACAGCGAATTGCGGCTGCTTAGACGACTGGGCCACCAGTTGCTTGGCTGGTACACACCACATGTCGTGTGTGTGTGTGTGTGTGTGTGTGTGTGTGTGTGTGTGTGTGTGTGTGCCGCACCTGTTAAGATTATGTTTGTGATTAGTATGACTTGAACTGACTAAACAACATGGCGGCAATGTCACAGAGCACAGAGGGAAGGCTCTTGTTTGAACAGCATGTCGTCTCTTAAATCACCGTCCTGCTAAATCGTGGGCTGAACAGATCGGGTCAGGTAGAGCGGGTGTTTACTTTTTGTCACTTGATCTTTTTATGAGTCATTGTGCTCCGGTGGCGTGGATCGTCACTCATGCAATGATCAATGATTAATAAGCCCATGGTGTGCTTTGACCCGACGCAGTTATAAAGACCTGTGAATTGTGGAGCGTAATTATATGTGTTGGCTCACTCACAAGTTTAATGAAAGTTGAATTTATTCGCCACGCGTAGCCAATTGTTGACGAGAACAGCGGGTGTCTAGTTTAGGAAACTAGGTGCACTATTCATGTATCATTCTACAATGACATTGCGGAATCCTGTCTTCCGACTGGTCCGCTACCAGTGTCAAATGCACGTTTGGCCATAATTTCTGTTTATTAGCGCATCACTGTGTACCGTTGACTAGCGCATCGCTGTGTACCGTTGCACCTATATTTGTGTAAACAGATGATCAAATATGGCTTCTCACTCCGACTAAGCTAACGATTTTGATTTGAAAACGATATTTTCTGGACAATGCTAATTGCCTCATTGCCGTCCACGTAAATCTTTTCAACACAGTCAAACCAAACCGACGGGCAAAAGAATTTAGAAATTTGTGTTTGACCAAAATATCAAATTAAACGTTACTAGGCTGAAACGAGTCTCCAAGCACTGCAAACGAAAGGTCCAAATCACAGCTGTAATACCCGTATCAAACATATCACAATCGAATAAACATTTCTTGTTTGTTTCATTTTGTAACCATCATCAAACCATAGTTGTTTATTTATGTTTATGTTTAGATGTGTTCATCTATTAATCGACTGTTCAGCCACTAAATTGACGGGTTACTCGTTTAGAGGTAAGGGAGATGTCTGACGGCGAAAAGAAACTATCTCTTTCATTAGTTGTATTGTGTGTGAGTTTGGTTTAAGGTCACTTTAAACAGTACTTCGGTTACCTAACGGTTTATCAGCATGATATGGAAAGAAAGACCGCAGGTTTTAGAAGTTTCCTAAATTGGTGAAACCCACGAACATGAAGAAATGCTAACAAATCTATAATCATAATCAGGGCGAACTGTGATTCGAACACATAGAATCCTGGCAAGCCTAAGGGACGCAACTCTGTACAGAGAGTTACAGTGCCATAGACTCAAGGCCAGGTTGCTAAAATGAGACAGATCATCACCAGTCAATAGCGTGTGTGTCCTCCCTGTGAGTTGAGAACTGCCTGCCCATTGAACCATTCGAAGCACGGGTCATACTCCAGGGAATGGTTGACCATTCGTTCTGTAATACTAGTCATAAAAGGTGATGTTCTGAAGGAAGGCAGCCGTTGGTCGTGTTGTGTGAGTCCTAGGGTTGCCGTGCTGGTATACGACTTTAACGTGGGCCATAACGGGAACGTGTGGCTGCAGCATCTGGTCAATGTTGCGTTGTGCATTTAGGTAGTATGGGCCAGGTAGTTCTGCCGTTGTTGGAGATGGCTGTCCGCATCATGACGCTAGCACCGCCTTCTGTACCCAGTTACCACGTTCATTCCCACGTCTATTAACACGACATTTTCCACCGAGTATAAATCGGGACTCTTTGCGAAACCATACATATACCTCCAATGCAGCTGAAACCATACTCCATGCAGCTGACACCACTGTCGTTGTCGTAGGCAATGTGTCTCTGTCACAACGATGCCAAGAACAGTTCGTCTGGTACGAATGCCTGTCTCGACTAGGCGGATCTGTACGTTCTGGTCCGATGCATACAGATCAGCAGGAAGGAGAACACAGCCTGTGCCCATGGGGATGGCTTGTTCTTGCCTAAATGTCATGTTCCCCAAGTGTTTCCTAGAAGTTATCAATGAGGAACTCCGCCATTTCATATATCGTTTTCTAAGTAAATTCAGATGACATTTGCTTTCATCTCTGACAAATTGTCATAAACCTCTTAAGATAGAGATGTAACTGTACTTAGGGCTATGACAATTATTAGCGAATGCCCTATTGATCTAGGAATATATTTTGTCTTATGGAATAGCCTTGTAAAACTTTGAAAAATCGGACTGAACTTTGGTTTTTCCTGAGACAGCAAGACTTCAAGCAAATCCTGTGATTTTTTAAAATACATGTATTAAATCCGTTCGTTTCAAATACGATCTGCGAAGGCAAAGAAAATCCTCCCTTGATTGTATTTTTGTGTATTATGGTTATTATTTAAGACATGGATTGGCGGTACATGTGCTGGACCCAGCAATATATCTCTCTTTTTACGGATCTTTATGGATTATAAGAAATGCAGTACAATAAGGAATGGAAATGTCTTCAGCTTTTACAGTCAAGCCAAGACTACTCGTTATGGCAGATTTCTTCCTCATGTCACTTATACAACGGACCCGTGAAGATCCGGGGTAGAATTGGTCTTCAGCAACCCATGCTTGCCGTAAAAGGCGACTATGCTTGTCGTAAGAGGCGCCTAACGGGATCGGGTGGTCAGGCTCGCTGACTTGGTTGATGAATGCCATCGGTCCCAATTGCGTGGATCGATGCTCATGATGTCAATCACTGGATTGTCTGGTCCAGACTCGATTATTTACAGACCGTCGTCATATAGCTTGAATATTGCTGAGTGCGGCGTAAAACAGCAAACAAACAAACTTATACAACGTTATTTGATTAAATAAATAAGTTTATGCTTACATGTAAAGGATATGTTATTTGAGGCCTTGTCACTGGGACCAACCACACACGTTTCATGTGGGACAGCCAGTCTTAGGATGACAGCTGGATGGGACAAAATGGGTTTGTTTCAAGTCTCTTTCCTCTTTTCAGTGTGTGCATTGTACCAATGACAGTATTACGCACTGATTACCCACTCTGAAAGACATTCAACAGGTATATCTTCTTTCGGTCCAATTTTTTGGCAAATGCTTCGACAGCATCCGTATTGATTTTAAAGTTGTGATTCCAATTCATAGGAGGCTGCTCACAACATGTTGGTCCACATTTGAATATCTGACAACGGTTGTTATTGTCAACAATAGAAAAGACACCTGAGGTTATTTAACCAATGTTATACTCTCACTACCCTTCATATTTTATGAATATGTTTCAAATGTTGAAATACTTTCGGAGTTTTAATGTCGACCTGCAAGAATTATGTTGAAAACTGTGCACCATACATGGCTATTCATTCACGAAAACCACATCAACGTAACAACTAATCGAAAACAGGTGACGTCACTCGAGTGCAGCGGATGTTTACAGACGAGGCAATGGAGGTCACGCCTTTTATCGAGGACACTTTTCCTATCGGTATATAATAGCTGAATTCTCTTGTTGAAGACATCACCTACCGGTATGAAAACGAAAATAAATGTTGACTCACTCATCACGCGATTGTTCATCAATGAAGTTTTAACTATTCGAAAATAGGACATGTGAGGACATATGATACAAGCATCGTGGTCTGCACTACGCTGTGTTGACTGAGTTGAGATGACGTGTAGAATTGATTTATCCTCTTCCTTCATTGCAGACCCGTGTCCAGAATCCCCAGAGATGTCGGGTCTTTCAGTGGTAAGTGGCCGGTAACATAATATGCTCTCATACCACATGAATATTTGATCTCTTTTGCGTTTTGAATGATGTATAGTTAGTTTGACCTCCCTATGTGTCATGGCAGTGCCACGTGATACACAAAAGCTAGACGTTGCTGACCGTTGGTATCTACAAGAAGGAGTGATTAAGGGTTATTGTAACTTTAAATTTAATGTAAATTTAATATTTCAGTAATATAAATGCGGGTCGGCTTTCCGTTGAGTGGGGGTGGGGGCTTGGGATTAGGGATGGGGGTTGGGGTTGGGGTTGGGGGATGCGGTATGTTGAAGTCGGCAGTGATGATCGCCTCAGAAGTGCAACGGTACAGGGTACATCCCACCACATGCCACGAGGGATCAGCTGACAGCGAATTTATCTCACCGACATTCATTCATACAGACTCTGAATATATGTCCGAAGTTTGACAGCTAGCAGACGACGCAAACCGAATTACTGCCCTTAGCCCAGTACATTCGGATAAACATCGGTTCATTTCTGCTCAACAATAATTACGCGAGAAATGCAAGTTACCTAAGGCGTGTTTCGACTGGGTATATGAGCGGGCTACATGGAAGATAATTGTCCGCACCTTAACCAATCACAAGCTAGTATTTTGATGTAAGGTGGGATAAGAACATATATATGGTTTATAGTATATCACATGTTTATCGCATGGTTTTGAGTTGGAAATGACTATGACTTACCTGCTTACACACCTCTTTGTTTGATACTTTATAAAATGTCTAATAGTCATCGACTCAAAGGTGGTTCAAAGCGAGTGGTGGTGTGGTTATTTGGTCCATGATTATCTTTCTCAGCTAAAGAACAACACTTTGTTTACTTTATCCGTAAGTTAGCTTCAGTGCCGATAGTGCCAACTGATTTCAGTTTGGTTCATATGATCACATACGTTTTACACTGCCTGATAAGGTTTCGTTGTGAGAAATCGATGAGAAATAATATTTTAAAAAGCTTTTCATTCCTTTCTTTTTATGCTGCGCTGAGATATCATACATGTACATAAACACTACCGTAACTACTGAGGTATGTCCCGTGAAGATCCGGGGTAGAATAGGTCTTCAGCAAACCATGGCGACTATGTCAACTAAATGGCGACTATGCTTGTCGTAAGCGGCGACTAACAGGATCGGGTTTTTAGGCTCGCTGACTTGGTTGATGCATGTCATCGATCCCAAGTGCTTGGATTGATGCTCATGATGTCAATCACTGGATTGTCTGGTCCAGACTCGAATATTTACAGACCGCCGCCATAAAGCTAAAAGATCGCCGAGTGCGGCGTTAAACAACAAACAAAACAACAAAGCAATCGTCAGGGGCTATAGAGATATGTTGTTTGGATGACGAAATTTCCAATCTCATTTCATCATGGTCCTGGTATTTCGAAATTCACACTTCAACCTAGCTGAAACACTTCCGGCATACTCCAAACTGCACACAACTGATCACATGAAATTCCTTTGTTCCTTTATAGGAATACATGAAACTAACGCAAACCATAAGACTCCTTAGACAAAGACTGAATTGCACTTGCCGATATCATTTTCCTCAGGTGATGCTGCCAATAGGCATGGCATGGCATCCAATAATTCCACACATTATTCCTAACATGAAGGCATAAACGTGAATGAACTAGTTCACGCAATGCCACAACAAGACTAGAGATGATACATATTACAGGTAACAAGAACTAACGTCTTATATCTGATTATTTGTTAATTATTGAGGCCATGACTTACCTGCTTACACACCTCTTTGTTTGATACTTTATAAAATGTCTAATAGTCATCGACTCAAAGGTGGTTCAAAGCGAGTGGTGGTGTGGTTATTTGGTCCATGATTATCTTTCTCAGCTAAAGAACAACACTTTGTTTACTTTATCCGTAAGTTAGCTTCAGTGCCGATAGTGCCAACTGATTTCAGTTTGGTTCATATGATCACATACGTTTTACACTGCCTGATAAGGTTTCGTTGTGAGAAATCGATGAGAAATAATATTTTAAAAAGCTTTTCATTCCTTTCTTTTTATGCTGCGCTGAGATATCATACATGTACAGAAACACTACCGTAAATACTGAGGTATGTCCCGTGAAGATCCGGGGTAGAATAGGTCTTCAGCAAACCATGGCGACTATGCCAACTAAATGGCGACTATGCCTGTCGTAAGCGGAGACTAACAGGATCGGGTTTTTAGGCTCGCTGACTTGGTTGATGCATGTCATCGATCCCAAGTGCTTGGATCGATGCTCGTGAGGTCAATCACTGGACTGTCTGGTCCAGACTCGATTATTTACAGACCGCCGCCATAAAGCTAGAATATCGCCGAGTGCGGCGTTAGACAACAAACAAAACAACAAATCAAACGTCAGGGGCTATAGAGATATGTTGTTTGGAAGACAAAATTTCCAATCTCATTTCATCATGGTCCTGTTATTTCGAAATTCATCACTTCAACCTAGCTGAAACACTTCCAAACTGCACACAACTGATCACATGAAATTCCTTTGTTCCTTTATAGGAATACATGAAACTAACGCAAACCATAAGATTCCTTAGACAAAGAATGAATTGCACATGCTGATATCATTTTCCTCAGGTGATGCTGCCAATAGGCATGGCATGGCATCTAATAATTCCACACATGAAGGCATAAACATGAATGAACTAGTTCAAGCAAAGCCACAACAAGACTAGAGATGATACATATTACAGGTAACAAGAACTAACGTCTTATATCTGATTATGTGTTAATTATTGAGGCCATGTTTTCTCATGCATCAGTTGCAATTATGTTATGACGACGTGTAGTGACTCCCGCGATAAGGAAATTCCCGATTCGAAAGCGAGGCTGTGACCTATTTTCTACCCTTACTGACTTCCGTGTTGAGTATAGTATGGCGGTAAACACAAATCATGACGGAATTTGCCCTCGGTTATTTACACTGTAAACAACTCGATGATCACGCAAGACAGTCTAAACTTGAACATTTGAGAAGACTTAAAATTTCTTATTTAAAATCTACATATGTATTGCATAATTGTTCAAATGAAGGACAAGAATGTGATCTGCTTGACAGGGCAGTGTCCCACTTTCAACTTAATCGTACTTGGTGTGGTAGGGTGATAATGTTTTCTTTAAATGGAATATGTGTCCCTATTTCGTTTTAGGTCCAGCTACCAGTGCAAAGAAAGGAAATCATGTATGTACGTTAGCCAGGAGAGTCTCAAAATCGAAATCAACCCACGCTTTTTTCGGATATTTAGGAACAACAGCTTCTAAGACATAATGTATCTTTATACAATCATCCTAAAAGTATTCACTCATGATTATTTTTCGTTGGACATCATGATACTGACAAGAACAGATTTGTTATTGTATATACATTCATGTATCTTTTTGCATTGAAAATATTCCATCTTGATAAGCAGCAATCGGTAAACATCAAGCCACCTTAGGCAAAAAGAAAAAAATACAACACCTTCGTAGTAGAAATTTTAGAAACACTCCAAAAACACAGCTGCTCGTCAAACAACAAAGCAAACTTAATAAAAAGCGTAATATGCATGCACAATCGGTGGAATATAATTATGATAAAAATGATAATGGTTATATTTATTATAAAAACATATTTCTAAATTGTCATAATATGAAATAATCTGACTACATATTTTGAGTTGAGGCCGGCACTTTGGAATCTTTTAATCCTTAAAATAAGGAGCCTTGGTAACTCAGTGGACATCAAGAGTCACGTGCATTAAGTTTGTGGGTTCGAATCACGGATTGCCATAAATACCGGTTTTAAAATAAAACCTGCAACAATTCTTGCTTTCATTCAGTTCAAGATGTTTATTCAAGAATTGTTATGAGGCAATCGGCCAATTACAAATATGGGTTGGAAATATGTCATATTTTTGAGAGATGGTAATACATATTATGTCAAATCTTTTCACATAGTCTCAAAAAACATAGCATGATATGTAAATTGCAAAATTTCTATTTGAACGTGGATAAGAGGAAGACATGAGCTCATTATATTAACGAGATTGTAAACGTAAAAGTGTTGATAAATATATTTTGACCTGATGGCATTATAAGCATTGCCAAATCCTAACAAAGTGAAACTCCTCCAATAATGTTACAGTTACAATGTACATAACTGACACACTCGCAGTTCCCGCCGTTGTAGTTTTTATCTTCATGTTCATATTTTTCATGAGTGTTAACTACATCTAAAACGTGCCAGGGCTACTTAACTTTTGTCAGTATTAACTTGAAGGTACAATTACGAGCAAAAGGACAAACTATGAATTATATAACAATTGGTGTTTGTGTCCCAGAGGAGTACACCGTGCCAGTCTTGATTGCATATTGAATTGACGATAAAGCTGGATTATTATGCACCAATTTTTGGACCCACATGTAGCCAATTTTATAAACTATCCTGCCGTTATCCTGCGCGACAGACACACTCACTTTTTCAGTACATGTTCTGAGAAACATGAAATTATGAATGACCGAATGTGTAAAATATACGATATGATGTTGTGCTGCAAGGATGAATATTTTAATATTCTTACCACAGTGTTTATAATTTTCAGGTTGTTAAGGGAAGGTGGCTTTGGCTCATGTTGACTTTGGTGAATGTGATAAGTATGCATATTCTCATATTTCTGAACGTCTTATTAAAAACAATTACCCTACTCCTGGTCGTCTGTAATTGTATTTTATACACTGATATTGCTACATCGAAACCGCCACCGTAAAGACTTCTTCATTGTCGTCAAACATTTATGGTTGTACACCATAAACAAAATCGGCACGATAAGTTCAACTGTACAGAACAAATTTTACTGGATCAGTATTGTGCTTCCTTGTGTACCTTCGGGCACGGGTGGCCCAGTCGTCTAAAGGTCCGACCTTTTGATATTCTAATGGGTGATGGAATTTTGTATGAAGACAAAAAGAATTTCAGCTGCAGCTGCATAGTGACCAACACGATAGTGTTGAAATGTCTAAGACCTCACTTTGTGCACCTCCCCAAGAAGACACGCCGTGATATAACTGAAATATTGTTTACAGCAGCGTTAACCCCCAACTCACTCATTGTATAGCTCATCATGCCTTACACGTATATGTGGCATTAAGGGAATGACTGAAAATAATTCCAGAGGCCCTATATTATGTGTTATCGTTCTTGTTAAAGCAATATTCAGACCCAGGGTAGAATCGGTCTTCAGCAACCCATGCTTGCCGTAAAAGGCGACTATGCTTGTCGTAAGAGGCGACTAACGGGATCGGGTGATCAGACTCGCTGATTATTTACAGACCGCCGTCATATAACTGGAATATAAGAGTGCACCGTAAAACAAACAAACAAACAAACAGTGCAGTATTTTCAAAAACATATTTTTAAACAAGGACATGTTTAACAATAACGTTTCCAGGTTCTCAACAACTCTGCCTACAATGTGACCTGAACATGAGATGCTTGAAATGCGTTAAAGGATATTACGGAGAGCTTTGCAACCTACCATGCGGTCCAGTGTGCAGAAAAGGGAAATGCAGAATCGACGGGTCATGTGGTGATTTTGAAAAAGGTTTGTATACATAACTGTAAATTGTTCTTTGTCTTGATAATGAGTGTCAGTTATATGCAATCGTCAGTGTCTGACCAGGCCGCAATCATGACTTAAACTTATGGTAAAACTTCCAATAGGGTGCATCTGTCGGCGATGCATGCGTAGCTCAATAATTTGCTAAGGAAAACAGTGTATAAGCATTGTACTTTTTACGCATCAATCATGCTAAGGGAAACACTTTAATGTGTATTTCTTGCAGTACATTCGCTCACTGGCGGGCTTTGTCTTACAATGGACCTGTTTGTGGACATGAAATAGTCATAACATTTATCCTAATTTTATCAATTATGATACAATGCAGGCAATGATAGAGTCAACATGATTAAGACAACCCTTGATATCATCTGTTGCAGTACGTGCGAATTGTCGGAACGTCAGATCACCCCGAACGTCTCGTGTTGTCAGTGATTGACAGTGATCCATTCATATCATTTCACGGCTATATTGTTTTTAACGCCCTGTGGAATTTAGTCCGGCGGATAATCGAGACTGGTTATTCTCTAGCGTAGACGTTTAATATTTATTTCTTAAATATACGTGTTTGCACAGTTCGTTAGTAAATGTTCCATTGAATGAAGAAGGCAAATATCTTTACAGCAAACACTCACCAATACTCATAACTTTAGAGTGTTTATTAGCTAAATTACTAAATATTGGGGAGACTTTTTACGTTTCTAAATGTAGCGGTACTGGGCAGAAAACATGTTGAGAATATGAAATTATGTTTATCTTTCCACCTCAGAATGTGCCGTCATATTTAATGCATCATAATACTGTTTGGTGTCTTTGACGTCACACTAGTGGTGTTCGGCCTGGAACTGTACCATGAATGAAGGACCGCCGTTACATATCTGCGACGTTGAACAACAAAAACAAACATGAATGCTCGTTTTTTACATAGGGGAGAGTTAACAGAAACATACTTTCTTTTCATTCATATTTCATTAGGTCTTATAATGTTTGTTTGTTGTTTAACGCCACACTCAAATATATTCCAGCTATATGACGGCGGTCAGTAAATAATCAAGTCTTGACCAGACAATCCAGTGATTGACATCATGAGCATCGATCAACGCAATTGGGTTGCTGAAGACCTATTCTAACCCGGATTTTCACGGGTGATCAAAATTATGCGTAGTATAATATGTGCAATAAATCGGATTCAATTATCTAGTTGAATTGATGAGAATATACCAGCGTGTATTTTATTAACGCCCCCAAACCGTATTTTTAAACACAAATTATAACAGGTCATAACATCCATGGTACCATGTACTTAATTACTACTATATCCTCCAGTGGTGGGAATTTGCTGGGATCTGAGCAGATATTGTGATGCTTGAAGTTACCGGAGTACGTGTATGCGAGACCATGCCACATGGCAACAGCGGATGATTAATGTCCATCAGATGACTAGCAGACTAGCATTTCACACAAACAAATCAACTCATCTTTTAATTATAAGTTTCAAGATAACAAACTGCCTTAAGCTTATTACTTTTCTGAAATTTTATTGTATTAAATCTATTATCATCCTTGTTTGCGACTATAGTTTTGGTGTTTATTTTCCATCATATCGGCAATCCATTCATAAGACATTGTCTGAAATATTTAATATTTACAGACAATTACTTTGGGATAACATGAGAGTGAAATAAGTGTATAGTCAATGTGTAAACCCAGGTTGAACTCGAAAATGTACCACAATGCATCTAACTTAATTTCGATGGATTTATGTGCAATGTGAATTTATTGGAGCTTGATGCGACATGGGACATTTTAGCACGAAGTTATAATTTTGAATTTTATTCATTGCAAGCAGAAAAAATGCTCTTAAATTGTTGTGTGATATCTCTTGTTAAGGATTGATACTGTGTTATGGATCCACTCGTAACAACTCTTTGTTTACCGGCTCCCTGTGTGTGTCTGCAATGTTATTGAAAGGGTAAACTTGAAATTACATAAATTACTGGTGCAGGTATTTGTTTTAATGACACTGTAGGCGAATTGCACTGCTGGCGAAAATAGACGACGTCCTATGTATGGTTCCACTGTTCACCGTAGCGAATTTCTTTTTTTATTACACGCTTCAAGGGCTGGAACAATTGACCAATGCCGCATTTGACATGGAAGGGCGCAGAGTGGTCAGGGTACTGCACAGAGTGGCTGGGATATTTGATCTTGAGGACAGATAATTACAATTACAAACAAAAACAAAGACAATGTTGAGTGTAAGAAGCTAAAAGAATCAGTTATGAAATAGTCCATTCTCATCACTTTTAGCAACATCTCATATTTCTTAAGATTTACTTTCATTCACTACTGTAACCGAATAATGCACAGCTGATTGTCCGATAGAGCTAACTGTTCATTGTGGAGGGATATGTGGTGTAAATAAACGTGGTAACATGTTTTAGTTTGACGAAAAAACGATGTTTGCAGTGTTAGTATTCTTTCTTAGTCACTCATTATAGATAACCATCTTTTACGTTTTGTGATTTTTCCTAAATCATATTGTTTCTAAACAGGATTGCATATTAACAATGGTAGTTCTTCATAAGGTGTTCTGAAGGTCAGGCGTATGAGGAGAAACGCTGGTGTGAACTGCCACGACGCGGAGTGCACATGTTGTAAGTCGAACTACACGGGCCCTTACTGCCAGGTGCCCTGCCCCAACTGTAGGACGAGGTAAATATCGGGAGATTGCAACAGGTACTGCGAAGCTGGTTTCTATGGTGCGACCTGTGACGAGACATGTTCAACAAACTGCGCACCAGTGGAGGACAACACGGGGCAACATATTCGTGAAGCCACGGGTGCATACAACGCCAACTGCAGTCCGGGATATTTTGGAGAAATGTGCAACAAAACTTGTCCCCCAGATTGTAAGAATCACATTTGCCTTCAAGGAGATGGCACATGTGTAGAATGCAATGATAAAGACTATGGGGTATCATGTAATAAGAAGTGTCATGGTTGTAAGGAAAGTTGTTTCAGAAGTGGGAGATGCAAGCAAGGATGCATTGATGGTTATTACGGCACAATGTGTAATCTCAGATGTGGAAATGATTGCACTGAAGGAGGCAAGTGTCAAATGTATGAAGAAGGCCAACAAAGGATATGCACTGACGGTTGTCAGTACATCACAGCGTCACATAGCGTCATCTACAACTGTGTAGCTGCTGCATCGTCAGACCCAAATAGTTCAAATGCTGGTGAGTATATTAAGTTAATCGTCAGTCTGGTATTTAAAGTAATGGCTTCATGGAGAACCCATGGTCCAGAACACATAGGCATGCTGCCAGAACAAGTTCATATGTTCGTGAGTATCGTGTCTCTGGCTTTTCCGGTTCATCGAACACATGTTTGTTTGGTTTGTTTACAGGCTAGCAACAAACGCTTACTTTTTAACCGGTAGAGCAGGACATGCTTACCCTTTTCACTGATTTTCAGCGATGCTATCATTGAATATTCTCTCACTAAATATTTTTGCCTTTTTTGCTCCATGGAATCTCTTTTGTCGACTTGTTATTCTCTGGCGTTGACGTCATATAGTCACAGTGTGTAGGCATTTGCAACGAAGTTTAGTTTAATACATTTTAGCAGGACTAAAACAAGTGTTCTTGACAGTACTGCTAAACAAACATAACAAACATTGGCGTGAACACCGCGATTCTGCAAAACGTGTGTCCATTGAACAGGGGACTGCGAATGAGTTCTTGATCTATGGGTAGTCATCAATGTGACGACTCGGTACTTGCAGTGTAGCTTACGAGCAACATTATTTGATGTCTGCTTTTGGTATCGACTGCATGGATTTTGCAAATCCGCGAGCACAGTTGTCAGAATGTGACTATTATTAAGTTTTGTATAACAGTATCAATGCCTTCAGAATATATGTAAAATTCATGTGAATATGATCTTGACTTTGGTTTGCAAAGTGTATATGAATCTTTGTCGTCTTGTGCACAGAAGCGATTGCCCCTGCCGTTGTGGTACCAGTCAGCCTGGTCATCGTCGTTCTTGTGATTCTGTTGTGAGTAATTATAAAGAACTGTTTTTCTATCACACACACAGACACAGAAAGACACAGAAACACACACACACACACACACACACACACACACACACACACACACACACACACAGAGGGAATGGGTATACAGTCAAGTCCCGTTAATTCGACATTGTTGGTTGCATATGATTATGTCGGATTAATGAGAATGTCGGATAAACGAAATTTGGTAGTATAAACGTTCGTGATCCAAAATTGGACAACTACACGATAGATAACGATACGAACACGTGGGAAAATGAAAAATGAAATATTCATATTGTTGTGTTACATTGTCAGCGGAATATGTTTTCTAATCATGCAACCACTAAAGTGTAACACAAAACTACTGTTACGGACTGTATGACTGATTCAAAATTGACTGATTTCTAAAGCATATTCTGGAATGGAAGTCGCTAATTTGAAGCTAGTGCCGCAATGCTTAAGAAAGCTGCTTTCTTAGTGGCTAATGTCGACTTCCTGTAAGTAATTTCAATGGTCTGTATATCTATTGATCCATTGTAACAAGAAAGTAGGTATTATCTCTAATCTGAACCGTTCAAAGGTGTAGTCGAATGAGAATGACATTTCAATTTTTTGGTCTCATCACCGAACATTACGGTATTTCAAAATGAACCTAGCTCACCTTGGTTCAGTTAGATTCGTTTTCATATACACTCTCAATAAAATCTATATCTCACGAGGACTAATTTTTGTAATCTATATATTGTACACATTTGTTCATTTGAATAATTTGTAGATGTGTGGTTCAAACAGTATACAGTTTTGATGGTGAACGTGTTATTTATAAACTTATGGATGGACTATTTGACGAATGTTCTCGAGTTGTGCAATGGGTAATGGAACAAACAATTTGTGTTTCAAATTGTGTTGTGAACTGATACTTCAGTCACTCGAACTACTCCACAACACTTGGTCAGATTATACCACACTGGATATACTTCACGTTATTGTTTAAGGATGAAATATCAGACTGCACTTTATATGCGTGTGTAGTGAATTTCACATAACCAATGCAAGATCAGCAGATTTAGATTTTAGCCAAATACAAAAACGAACTGTTCATTCGCTTTAGTCCACCAGGGAAGAATCAACACATCGAAGAATGAGCAGTATTCAAACACGTGAACAGATTTATGGGGATATTAACATATTCGTGAATGTGTATTGTTACGTGACATTATATTGTAAAATTATTTCGGGTGATTGTTAGTGGCAGCACTAATGATGGGATCGTAAAATCTCGAACTTTAGACGTGTCACACTACATTTCGCATAAACAGAGTGACCAACCTTAGTTGTTGTGGTTGCAAGCTTAAGGATCTTCGTTATCCCCCGGTGTAGAGGGTTCCACTGGGAGGGGCTTGCTTACATTCGATGATTAACATCCAGGACAGCTAGCTCCTCGCAGTGGAACTCTCAACACCGGGGGACTTTCGATGATTAACATCCAGGACAGCTAGCTCCTCGCAGTGGAACTCTCAACACCGGGGGACTTTCGATGATTAACATCCAGGACAGCTAGCTCCTCGCAGTGGAACTCTCAACACCGGGGGACTTTCGATGATTAACATCCAGGACAGCTAGCTCCTCGCAGTGGATCTCTCAACACCGGGGGACTTTCGATGATTCAAATCCGAGACAAGATCCGTGAAGATCCGGGTTAGAATTGTTCTTCAGCAACCCATGCTTGCCGTAAAAGGCGACTATACTTGTAAGAGACGACTAACGGAATCGGTTAAGTAATGCGAGTCAAGTGAATGAGTTCCTCCTAAACATTAATTCTAACTTTCATAATTATTACAATGTCGAAATGTTTCGTTTCGTAAGATTTGCGTGATGTGATGCTGAATGGATGTACAGATATTTGTCATTTGAATACTCCGCCTTACAAAAACGAAATATATTTACAAATGCATCTCCTCTGTGACTGGGTATTGTTCAACATACCTTCATGTATAACATTATGTCCCTTGTTATAACTGTCTTTTGCTATACCTTAAATGCTGTGATAGTAGAACAGTTAGACGTATCTTTGGTTGGTATTTCTTTTGAGTTGGTTCAAGTTATTTTCAGATGGATGATTCTGTAGAACCTTTGCGCAGGGATTACATAAGAGGAAGAAGGGATCTCAATAGGTACTTGATGAGACAAATATTAAGTCTATATTGAGTTATCATTTAAGATGCAGATACCATATTTAACATACCTAATACAGAATAATTTGATGAAGATTTCTGAAAGGGCGTGCGTGCGAACATTGCATGTTTGTGCGTGTGCAGTAACATAAATACATGTATACACCATCATTTCATATTGAACATATCGTTTTGCTATTATATATAAACTTCATAAAATAATAAAATGTGTTCGCAGGCCACATATCAACATATTTGTACTTTTCAGTCTGAGGCGGAAAAGGGTCTGCTGTTGGAGGTACATCAGTCAATAGTCCATCAATATATATGTGATTAAGAATACGGTTTAATTTAGGGATTAGATGGGGAATTAATCAACGACAACGACCTCCCTTTCCCAATATTGCGGTTTCGCCGAAGCTTCAAAGTTACAGCCACAAATCCGACAATTGGCAGTGTGAGGTACAGATTTAGAAGTATGTTCTGTAGTTTCTTATTTGTTAGCAAAGCAAATACAGAAAAGTGATCTTTGATAAAGTTGACATTATCTGCAAAGTTTGCTTTAATTTAAGTGGTTTAATAGAGAAGGCAAGAAGTGTATACCGGGACAACAGTTCTCTTGACCTTCAGTAGCTTGAATCAATAGTAATGTATATTGAAAGTGATTTCAGTGCCGTAGCCAGTCGGGGGACATTTTTCCTTGTGAAAGTAAACTTGAATAAGAAATGAATAATCGTATTTGCCATAACTTCCATCCAGTGAAGGGGACCTTCAAAGTGCCCGAAACGTAGAGGTACAGCAGAACACCACTTACGCTTACACCCACTGCACGCTATCAGTCCATGACGCAGGATTGAACAATGGGCCACTTTCCTGCGCTCTTGCATGCAAACCATATTGAAACAGCCTACAATATATGCCCGGGAATATCGCAGTACCCGTGACGATCCGGGTTAGAATGGGTCTTCAACAACCCAGGCTTGTCGTGAAAGGCGATTCTGCTTGTCGTAAGAGGCGACTAACGGGATCGGGTGGTCAGGCTCGCTGACATGTTTGATACATGTCATCGTATCCCAATTTCGTGGATCGATGTTCATGCTGTCCATCACTGGATTGTCTGATCCAAACTCGATTATTTACAGACCGCAGCCATATAGCTGGATTATTGCTGAATGCGGCGTTAAACAACAAACAAACATTGTTATTGAGATCAACAATCCGATGAGTGATAATAACCCACTCTGCTCAAGTGCATTCGACCACATGTGATATGTTTCCCTTCGTCAATGACTGTTTACTTATATTTACTGTCCGGTCAATAGGATAGAGGCGCATGTTTTACCAACCTATTGCAAAATTAACAGAAGGATTTACTCGTTTGTTTCTTGTTTACACAATGTTACACCATATCCAGCAGTAGTCCAGCCTGTAAGTCTTGGAGTCTTGGACAAAGATAATCCTGTGATTGATACTGTGACCGAGATTGACCATCCGATCAATAAGTTTGGTTGGTTGGTTGATTTGTTGTTTAACGCAGCACTCAGCAATATTCCAGCTATATGACGGCGGCCAGGTGCAGACAATCAAGTGATTAATATCATGAGCATCGATCCACGCAATTGGGATCGATGACATGCATCAACCAAGTCAGCGAGCCTGACCACCCGATCCCGTTAGTCGCCTTTTACGACAAGCATAGTCACCTTTTACGGCAAACATGGGTGGCTGAAGACCTATTCTACCCCGGAATCTTCACGGGTCCCGATCAATAAGGAAGGTGATTATAGCGTAGATATTCTTTAATGACTTGTATGTTACACAATACCAATGTACTACTTATTTTACAGGAGGGATGTACTGGAATAGAAGCAAAAGCAGACTAGGACATACGCATGGACCCGAGAACTATTGGTATTGACATGAATAATGTTGAAATGAAGATATCCCAGGCCAATACTGAACAATTCATGATTTTGTCTTTGTTAGTCATTCAACCGAAGAGCTTCAAATGTTTTTAAATGACACAGGAAAAACAAAGCATACATGCTTGTAGAAACATAACCCCATTCACATTTATTGAATGAGACGCCCTACCATACTCACGATAGACTGTAAGTAATCGACGCTGGACCAGACAAATTCGTGCTGGGAAGAATGAGGTTGGTTGGTTGGTTGGTTTGTTGTTTAACGCCGCACTCAGCAATATTCCGACTATATGACGGCGGTCTGTAAATAATCGAGGCTGGACCAGACAATCCAGTGATTGATATCATGAGCATCGTTCCACGCAATTGGGATCGATGACATGCATCAACCAAATCAGCGAGCCTGATTACCCGATCCCGTTAGTCGCCTCTTACGACAAGCACAGTGGCTTTTTACGGCAAGGATGGGTTGCTGAAAACATATTCTACCCCAAATTTTCACGGGTCACCTTATTATGAAATCTATAAATGTCCACTATTACAAATGTGTTTGACGATTTTGATAAGTATAATCTTTTTAGTATTTGATGTCTGTAAATGTAAGGACAAGCACGTTAGCGTCTTGTCCTTTTAAGATTACGATCGATCAACCAATCTCATTTTAATATAATGACATTATTTACATCTTAAAAAAACCATTTCATTACATTTTATGATTTGAGTTTCAAAGTTTGCTATGCAAATACCATGACCGAAAATTTTTAGGTTAGATGTTTATTTATCAATATCCGAATCTTTCTCGCCGACGTCGTTAGATATATTAAACAAATCATAACGTCAAACAAAATGGTATCAAGTTATCTATAATTCATTTCAGCTGATTAGATGACTAGAACTTAATTAATAATTGGGCAACAAATTACAGAATCAGGTGAACACGGAGAATTAAGGATTAATCTTAGTCTTCGATAGGGCCATGTATTTCTCTGTTACTTTATTTGTATTTAGTACGATTTCCTTATAGTACAGTTTCCGTGGAGATATTTGTGTTGAAACAGTTTGGTCACTTGTGAACAAAATAACAGGAAATATATGGTCGTGATCCACAGCAAACTGCGATCACTAGCCAACAAAGTATTTGCTTTCCATTTGAGGAAAGATTAAATACGATTGTTGTTTAACGCCGCACTCCATTCCAGTTATATGACGGCGGTCTGTAAATGTTCAATATTCTGGGACAGACAATCCAGTGATGGACATCATGAACATTTATCAAAGAAATTTGTTTGGTTTGGTTTGGTTTGGTTTGTTGATTAACGCCGCACTCAGCCATATTCCAGCTATATGACGGCGGTCTGTAAATAATCGAGTCTGGACCAGACAATCCAGTGATTGATATCATGATCATCGATCCACGCAATTGGGATCGATGACATGCATCAACCAAATCAGCGAGCCTGACCACCCGATCCCGTTAGTCGCCTTTTCCGACAAGCATAGTCGTCTTTTACGGCAAGCATGGGTGGCTGAAGACCTATTCTACCCTGGGTCTTCACAGAGGAATGATTTACATGTAAAAAATTGAAACAGCGTTGCGTGCTTTGATGAGTGATTGAATTGGAATCTGAGATGGTTCAAAGCATTTATTCCTAACAACCATATAGAGTGGTTTGTGCGCAATAACAAAGAAATTACATCTGCAAATATATTATAATGATGACACACCACTGAAATGAAATGTAGGGGCTCTTTCAGAAATATACACGCACCGTGCAGCACGCATTGGTGAAACCTACAATTGTCGTTGCAACACACACACATTACAATTTGAAACAAAAACAAAATACTAGTAGGTTGACTTGCTGGATTATTGCACTTTAATAATATTTAGTGTATTTATATGCATAATTAACTGTCAAGAGAACTTATTAAATAAAATTTCAAGTGTGTCATGGCGTATAGACTTAACGTTGGGGGAATTCTGTGATATACATATTCGTGTGAAAGAGTGAGTGAGTTGTGTTTAACGCAGCTTTTAACAGTATTCCAGTTATATCACGGCGTGTCAACTTAATGTGGGAGGAAAGCCCGAGGTGATGCAGACGTTTACCACTTAGGTGAAACCCACGAGCAAAGGTATGGTGCTGACAAACCTAGAAACATAATCAGGGCGAACCGGGATTCCAACCCACAATCATTGGTTTCTGGCGTGCCCCAGGGACGCAACTCTGCACAGCGAATTGCGGCGCCTTAGACGCCTGGGCCACCCGCACTCAGCAATATTCCAGCTATATGACGGCGGTGTGAAACAGGGAATCGCACTTAAAAACTATAATAAAACAAAACTAAAAAACACATTGAATGTAACGCATGCAAGGCTTCATTTGAGTTTGGTTGTTGAATAACGACACACTCGGCAGCTACATAATGGAGCACAAATAGAGTTTTACGTTCTGTAAACAATCTAGTCTGTATAGACAATCTAGTGACTGACGTTATGATCAACGTTCTACGCCGTCCGGTTACGACGTCACACGAGTCAACGAACATTAAGTCACCTCGTCCGTCAAGCAGAGATGGCTGGGTAACCAGCATCCCTACGTCATACACCAGACTGGGGAGTAGGACACTTCATGCCAGACTGATCAACACACTTGAGTCGTCAGACCGGCATAATGAGCCCCTGACGTTAGTTGTGACTGAAGGGTTTTCTTTTTGTTTTGGGTTGAAAAGCATAATCTTCCTTTTTGCCTAATTTTGAGTTTGTTTGTTTATTTGTTGTTTAACGCCGCACTCAGCAATATTCAAGCTATATGACGGCGGTCTGAAAATAATCGAGTCTGGACCAGACAATCCAGTGATTGATATCATGGATATCGATCAACGCAATCGGGATTGATGACATGCATCAGCCAAGTCAGTGAGCCTGACCACCCGATCCCGTTAGTCGCCTTTTCCGACAAGCATAGTCGTCTCTTACGGCAAGTATGGGTTGCTGAAGACCTATTCTACCCCGGATTTTCATCCTGATGTTGAAGAGCTACAGGTATTCCAATGAAATGGACAATTGTACGTCAGCTTACACGTTTAGATACAATCTGTACTTGTTCTCTTCATACAGATCGTCTTGGTCATTACCACATTTTGGGTTATGATCGACGTCCGTGTCAAGGTCAATGTATGAGTGAATCCTGGAGTCTCCGTTCTCTGTTTCGGAGGAACTCGGGTTCTCGTACAGCCCTATTGCGCACGTAGGTCCTCTGTAACAAAGGCAATAGTTTACACATTTATAGTATATACAGAGAGACCCCCATAATACAGAAAGTGATTTCGTCATAATTAATATTTTCTGGATTAAGAACAATGGGTATTTAAGTTTATACGTAGACGCTTCAACTATAACCGCCCGGAAGAGGTAACCTCACCAAATAGCATGAAAACACGGGCTGATACATGTTTGTTTGTTTGTTCTTTAACGCCACACTCAGCAATATTCCAGCTATATGACAGCGGTATGGCTATCCAGTGATTGACATCATGAGCATCGATCCACGCAATTGGGATACGATGACATGCATCAACCAAGTCAGCGAGCCTGACCACCAAATCCCGTTAGGGCTGTACGACAACTAGAGGTTCCTCCGAAACAGAGAACGGAGCCAGAGACTCCAGGATTCACGTGGATCAATATCCATGATGTCAATCACTGAATTGTCTGGTCCAGACTCGATTATTTACAGACCGCCGTCATATAGCTGGAATATTGCTGAGTGCGGCGTTAAACAACAAACACCACCACCACCGCATTATGGTACAGCGTTATTACCTTTTCTTACGTCCATACTTCACTCTTGCCCAATAAGCAAGACAAGTAGTCAGGATGACAAGAGCTGCCACACTTAAACTTGTCCCCAACACCAGCCACATGTTCTGCCGTGAAGCATTCGCCTCTTCGTGATCTGTGAAAACATCATCTCATAACGTACATTTGTATTCACACCTAGGCTCTTCCAGCAGCATCTTCCCGAGGCAAGAGAGTTAACTGACTTTAAAAGTCCAGTTTCCACCCTTGCCGAACTAGGATGGTATTATGGAGTCCAATCAAAATCGCGCACCGAAATCGAAATCCGGTTCGTCAACTGTCGTGCAGATTTCTATCGATTGCAGGATTTGCAAAGCATGTGCACCGCCAACTCGTTGTCAGCAGATATTTTCTAAATTCTTTCATGTTTTTAATCAAGTTGCACACGTGATTTGATGCATTTCGCGATTTAAGACCCGTTTTATCACAATATAGATCTTGATTATCGATCAGATCGTCCTGACTGGGCGCCACCATTTTGTGCGAAGCGAACGCAAGTGATACGACAGGTGGAATCTGATTGGTCCATAGGAGAGGCTTAGAAGGGACATAACTGGCAATAGTCACTGGTGGCGCTACGATCGAGCTCAGTAATTCCAGCCTAGTTCGGCAAGGGTGGAAACTGGACTTATAAAGTCAGTTAACTCTCTTGCCTCGGGAAGATGTTCCAGCAGATATGTGACGGCATATAGAAAATCATTTTGTGGATGGCTGATATAGTACTACTGACATAAGAAGTATAATACTGGCCAATGATAGTCGTACACAAACTGGCAGTACATGTATTTTTCTTTTCAAGCAATATGTCACAATACATCATAGAATTTCAACTGTTCATAATTTGTTAGCTTGTTGAGACCAACAAATAATAATTACTTTCATCGCAATTAACCATCCAACTTTAAAATTGAGACGTTTAGATATCTTTATGAAACTTCATTCTCATTTTAGCTTGATTCCAAAACGTTAAAAGGTATACCATTAACTGTTCAGATCGACTGCGTGTCCCTTTAAGACAACGTAACCTGGTTAATCGACAGGATAAACTACAGGTAGGTCCTATAACGGGATGTAGGGTACACTACTGGTCAAATCATACGTCACCACGATTGCGATCAAAATGTAAACAATTCATAAATTGCTGGTGGCGATGCGGAGATGTTTTCTCGCCGTGTATTTTAAGTGTGTACATATACATATATATCCTGCTACCTTCATTCGTCGGATCTTGGCGGAGGTTTGGCAGATATATTCGAATGTACAGTTATCAGCAAGAGCAGGTTCCATTTCGAGAGCAGGACGACTCCAAATAGTCGCAGTTTGCAATCTATCTTTGTTAGGGCACTGAGCACATTGCTAATCCTGCGTTGGGGCTCTAGTGCACTCATTGCACATCAGTAACCATCAAAGTGGAGGTCGAATTGTGGCAAAATTATTGGTACCTGTAGAGTTGGAAGTACACGCAGACGTGAACTGGTCGCAGAATCCGGAATTGCATTTTTCTGGGCAGTATTCCTGGCAGAAACTCCCCGTATATTCTTTCCTACATCCCTTAGAGCACTTGAGTTGGCCATCAGGGTACTCGCAAATTCCCTCTTTACACCTTTTACTACAAACAGATTTACATGTATCTGCTCGCAATACCTTGCCACATTCGTCAGGACATCTAAAGCATGGATCTCTGCCAAGCTTGCAGGCGATACCACATGGCTGACAGTCTACCTGGACGTCATCTATGGAGCAGTAGTGTTGTCCTGAAACGTTAAAAACATTTCACCACTGTCAAAACGAGATCCTACACTATGTCCTCGAAAACGAATAAATACATTTCACTTTGTTACACTTCGAACATTTTCATATAACTATGTTGCAAACAGGTGAAGTACGGTGAATTAGGGTTCCAATAAAAGCGATAAAACCTTTTCAATAGCCATCAGAAATCTCTGCCAAAAACCGGAGTCGACCGCACGACTCCGACCATATCGCGAGCATGTGTTTAGTGATGACACCTGGTGTTCTTGTTCAATATTGTTCAAGATTATTTACGACCCGTGAAGATTCCGGGGTAGAATAGGTCTTCAGCAACCCATGTTTGCCGTAAAAGGTGACTATGCTTGTCGTAAAAGGCGACTAACGGGATCGGGTGGTCAGGCTCGCTGATTTGGTTGATGCATGTCATCGATCCCAATTGCGTGGATCGATGTTCATAATGTCAATCACTGGATTGTCTGGTTTATTTACAGACCGCCGTCATATAGCTGGAATATTGCTGAGTGCGGCGTTAAACAGCAAACAAACAAACAAACAAGATTATTTACACGTATATAGCGACATGTGTGTGTGAGGTGGGTGTGGTCCGTACGTACGTACGTGCGTCCGTATGCCGGTTTCATAGTGCTAGCCCACTGAGATACCGTGCCGCAGTTTATCATGGCAACCACACTCAAACACATAAATATAGAATACTAAACGAGCTCCCGTGTAATACCAATTTTATGAAACGAGTGAATAGTTGTGGTATCTGACGAGCGAAAGCGAGTCAGATACCACAACTATTCACGAGTTTCATAAAATTGGTTTTACACGGGAGCGAGTTTAGTATTTTATTTATTACTTGCCATTTATAACGTTTTTAGAATTATACTGTTGAGTATGAATAGGCTGACACCTACACGATCTACGACATAGTCCAATTAAGTTTAACAGAATAATACTTCAAACACGTCAAAAGTTGAAACGTATGAATTTAATACCATACAACGGTCCATCTTTAGAATTCCCAAAATTATCGTAGGGCTAAGACTATCGCAACTCACATACTTTAACAGACTAACGACTGTGGTTGCGATCGCCATGTGGAACGGGCCTTGCACCTCAAAGTTTACAATAACGTCACAATACCCGATGACGCAATTTGTGGAATTTTGTTGCAAGATCCATCGGCGAAACAATGCCATGTGACGTCAGCCTAGCAACAAGGTTGCTGGGGTCATCGAGTGTGCATAAGCTCCTTTCAGTGATCTATCAACTCCACACGCAATGTCGTTGAATAAGCCAAGGGGTGTGGAGAGCTTTCAATATTTGTTCGTGAAACGTGTTCCGAGAGCACATAAGCACGCGTTTCGGTATTACACAATGTGTAATACAGCTGTATGTTTATTAAACGGGTGATCTCTTCACGGGCAAGTAATAATAGTGATTCCGAGCCGAAATGTCTTTGTTTCATCCTCTTATTGCCGAGCGCCAGGCAGGAAAACAAAAAGTACTAAGTCTATCTTTCTACGTCTTTTGGTATGACTCGGGCGGAGTCGACATTCCTCTCAGTGGGCAGACGCACTATCCACTAGACCATAGAGGCGGTCATACGTTGCAATGGAAGTTGGGGTAGTGAATGGCCCAGTTGACCCTATTATCAATATGAATACAGAAAGATACTTGCTTTATGCCAATGCTGTAAGAACACAAATACTCCAACTTTGATAATATGCAGTTATGTTAAAACTTCTTTTGTTCAAAAAGCAAAGAAATGTGTTATATTTTATACAGTTTGCACGTAAATTATATTTTGTACAAAAATGCCCCTGGCCAACAAGTACTGAAGAAAGTGAAGTGAAGTGAAGAATGGCCCAGTTGGAAATGTTGTGCCCCTTGCTATCTTTTTGTTTAAGTGTCCCAAAGTCACCCTAATTATATTCCAAGAGCCACCTTTCATTAATCAATCGTAGCACTACAACTGTCGTAAGTCAATGTTATATCATAGTCGACTGTCGCTTTGTGAAACGAGGCCCTTGTCGGTAAACTTGAGGTTCACGTCTTGTCCCTATTTCACTTTGAATGTTTTCCACATTTAACTGATACTCATTGACCCAACTTAATTGTTGTTGGAAGCTGCCCACTCATTCTCTCATTTACTTGAAAAGTGCTTAAATATCTTAATTCTTCTTCCTTTGACAATACATTTTTGAAGGAGACGCATGGTTGGCACAGTCACTCCAATTTGCGGTGCATAATTCGGTCCCTTTGGCGTGCCAGAACCTATGATCGAGGGTTCGAAAGCCAGATTCGCCCTGATTATGTTTCTAGGTTTGTCGGCACATCGGTGCTCGGGAGTTTCATCAATGTGGTAATTACGCCTAAGACCTGTATCACCTTGAGTTTTCTTTCCTCATCAAGCTGGCATAACTAAAATACCGTTAAAAGTGGAGTAAAACCAAACTCGCTAACTTACTCAAAGACTACGATTGTAGCATACAAAAGTAAGGTAAGACTTACCGGTACCGGAAACCCCCTGGAAGAACTGCATTGCAATCAGCACCTCAAATATCATCATTCTTAATTCAAAGCTTTGCTCCCAACGACTGGAAAAACACTGACAACCGGTATGGAAAACTGTCCTGTTTGCATTTATGAATTTAATTGAAGGACAATCATATACAAATATTTAGTTCGCGATATGAAGCACTCTTGTGAGGTGATAAGCTCCGCATCATTTCCTGTTCAGTCAGTATAAACCCATTTACAATTGCGATATTGCCAAGGACGCTATTGATATTTGTGAAACAACATTTACAAATCCAAGTTTATTCTTAACTTGAGACCCGTGAAGGTCCGGGGTAAAATAGGTCTTCAGCAACCCATGCTTGCCGTAAAAGGCGACTATGCTTGTAAGAGGCGACTAACGGGATCGGGTGGTCAGGCTCGCTGACTTGGTTGAAGCATGTCATTGTATCCCAATTGCGTCTTTCGATGATCATGAGTTAACGCGGACAGAGGGAAAATGGATTAGAATAATTTCAATCAATGATCAAGCGCTGAAATGTATAAGATTACAAGATATAGCTTTCCTTCATACAATTACCTGATCAGACAGTTAACTTGTGTATTCTCTTGAGTGTTCATTATTATAAATTGTTGTACATAAATGATGCACGTTCAGACAGCCTTAAGTTGCTTAAATATCCGTGTGAAACTGATATTCTTATCATAGAAACAGGGACATTATTTGTCCTTTTCTTCACGGACGAAAATGAGTCAAGAACGAGTGAACAAAACAAGGCTAGGAAAGCTGTGTTGCATAACATGTGTTCATATGGATTGAAGTACATTCATTATTCGGGGAGTAATGTCCTGCATCGTACATATTTAACACCCACAGCTGCGATGTGTCCGAAAGAATAAACTAGTACAATTTGTAGTGAGTGAGTGAGTATGGCTTTACGCAGCTTTTAGCAATATTCCAGCAATATCACGGCAGGGGACACCAGAAATGGGCTTCACATATTTGCTCATGTCGGGAATCGAACCAGGGTTTTCGGCGTGACGAGCGAACGCTTTAACCACTAGTCTACCCGACCGCCCCCTAGTACAATTTGTATCATTATGAGGTGACTATTAAAAAGGAAAAAGTACTCATTTAGACATAATTCGGTTTGCAAAAGAAATGTGAAAACAATAAAATTTAATTAATTTTGATGAATTTCAAAGTATAATGTTAAACTGGTGTCGGGGAGTAAAAAATGATACATAACATAGTTGAACTTGAACTATTACCTTGATGGTCAATGTAATAACATTACTATTACATTCACTGTAGCCTATATGTCGGATCGGTCCTTTTCAGATATAAAGATGACAATGCCAAGATAAATGATTACCTCCAACTCATCTACCCACCAGGGGTGGAACTCAAAGAGGCATCTAGGAAATCAGTGTTGTATCTGCATCTGTGGATGGAACTTAAAAATGATGGCAGCCTCTGTACAAAGCAGTGCGACAAAAGGGTGATTTCGATTTTCCAGTTGTGAATTGCCCCTTTATGTCGAGCAATATGTCTCAATAGTTTAGGTGATCTGTGAAGATCCGGGTTAGAATAGGTCATCAGCAACCCATGCTTGCCGTCAGAGGTGACTAAATGGATCGTAAGGTCAGGCTCGCTGACTTGGTTGATGCATGTCATCGTATCCCTATTGCGTGGATCGATGCCAATCAGTGGATTGTCTGGCCCGGACTCGACTATTTGCAGACTGCCGTCATATAGCTGGAATATTGCTTAGTGCGGCAATAAACAACACCCAAACCAACAATCCATGCTATCCCGTAATACGAACTTAACACATGGAGTTTCGCACCTCATTATTGACACTTACATTTTAAATGAATATTGTGTTATTTGCGGGGCATGGTACCGGTAGAGAGCAGGACATGCTTTTCCTTTGTTTGCGAACATCTAGTGTCGTCGCAGATTTTCAGTAATTCATTCATATAATTTTCACCGCCATTTTACCTTTTACGCCAAATGGAATTTATTCGGATAATCGAGAAGGGTTATTCTCTGGCGTTGAGGTTTTATATCTTGATAAAACAATTCATTTGAGTAATTGCATGGTGGTTATTTGTCTCTTTCACCAACCAGATGGCTATGTGGAATAAAGCTGAATGTAGAAACCTTGTTAACTTAGTTCACTATATGCTGAATATGTTAATGTGCCCTTGCAGTACAATAAAGGTATTAACTGGTCGACAAGTTTTCCATCCGACATTCTGTTAGTTATGGTGTCTTCACTTGCCGTATATGGTGTCATAATAGGTTAGAAGAAAAAAATACTCTGCTAACCTAATATGACACCGTATACAGCAACTGAAGACACCATAACGAATTTATTATGCCGAAAGGTCTACACTATCTGATATCCATATCGCACATATCATGTCAAAATGAAAACTTGACACTTACAACCCTTGACGTTCAGGGTCGAAGGGAGACTACTCTTTAAACCTTAGAGGCCAAACCTTGTTGATAATTTTCACTATAATCTTTTAATTTATCGATAAAGTCACGAACGTGATTAAGAAAATATTAATGTCCTTGCACATCAAAATTAATATCATTAAAACACAAAACAGTGTCGAGTAACGAATTTCTGTACCAGAATATAATAATTATTATTGTGAAATATGTAAGGTGGATGTTGGAAAATCCAAAAAGGCTGTTACTGACGGTATAGGAACTCATATTAGGTAAGTTATTGTCTTGGAATTGTACTGACGGTATAGGGGCTCATATGGGGTTAGTAGTTCTGCTCTCAGATTGCTCAATCTCACTTTGAGGCATAATGATGATTGATACATGTCTGTGGGTGGTACTAATTCCTTATCACACTTGGGGGCACGGTTGGCCCAGTCGTCTAAGGCGCCGAAATTAGCTGTGTAGAGTTGCGTCCCTTGGGCACGCCAGAAACCTATGGTTTGAATCCCGGTTCGCCCCAATTATGTTTCTAGGTTTTTCAGCTCGTGAGTTTCACCGAAGTGGTAAACGTCTGAGACCCGCATCTCTTCAGGCTTTCTTCCCACATTCAGCTGACACGCAGTGATATAACTGGACTACTGTTAAAAGCGGTGTAAAAAACCCAAATCACTCACTCACCTTATCACACTTCGTGTCTAGGATATCCTAAACCAAGGCCTTGTGTGACAGACTAACTTTCGGGACCGTGAATTCTTGTTGTTAAACGCCGCACTCAGCAATATTCCAGCTATTGTAAGGTAATCTGTAAATAAGCGAGTCTTGACCAGACAATCCAGTGATTGATACCATGAGCATCGATCCACGCATTTGGGATACGATGACATGCATCAACCAAGTCAGCGAGCCTGAACAACCGATCCTGTTAGTCGCCTCTTACGACAAGCATGGGTTGCTGAAGACCAATTCTAACCCGGATCTTCACGAATCTTGTGGATTTGGTAAATACACTATGTTCATACTGTAGAGTCACGGATGAAAATAAATCGGGTATTTGTCTGTGCATTCATATCATATTGTCTGTCTGTCTGTTGTTTAACACTGCACTTAGCAATATTCCAGTGACTGACATCATGAGTATCGAACCACGCAATTGGGATCGATGACATGCATCAACCAAGTCAGCGAGGCTGACCACCCGATCATATATTTAGTGTAAAGTCACTTTTCAATGTGTCTTTGCACTCGTATTATATTGAGTGTAAATATACATTGAAAAGTGACAAGCAGAGATTTTGTTCATGACTTTTCCAAATTTTGTCACAAATCATGGGGAAATATAGTGTGACTTACAGGTGATTTCTGTAACAGATTGGTTGGAATTTGGTGCTACACGTCGACATCTTAGAAGAACAAACCAACGGAGGATAAAATAGGTTGCGCATGCTTGCATTCCTATATGAGAACAGGGAGTCTATAACAGTGCGTCATACCATCAGGCTATGCTATATTGTACAACACATTTGAAGTTTTGTTCAATAGAATAGATCCAATTTTCTACTTTGGCATGAACTCTGGCGACCGGCAGTTTTTGACATGGATATGCCAACGAGAAAACAGTCGAGACAAGCCACAAGTGGTTGTATGGTACAGATAATCCATTTTACAAAACGTCATAATATGGGTGGTTGGTATGGGCCTGGATTAGGTCGACCTGTCATATTGGACTTCGCCAGGCCGTATCGGCACTCGGCGTCGTATGTGACCGACTTTGGCCCAGGCCATACATATACTTACATAGTGCTATGATATTAATCAACTGTCTCTAACAAACCCAGACCTGCTCGCACCATACAGCTAGCCAATACGAGTTTTGAGCGTGCTTCAGATCAAGGAGCTCGTATTTCACTCGAATACGGGCTCTTTTTTTTGTTTGTTTTACAGATTGGATCCTGCATTCTCGGTGGTCTGCTCGGGCAAAAAAATTGAAGCGCCTTAAAATGGAAAAGTTGAATTGATGTCAAGGAGAGAACTCCCGTTTCAAGCAAGCAGACCTGTTTCGTGGTTCCCAGTCGGTTGTTGATATGGAAATACTGCAACGGTCTTAAACCATTCCAATATGTAAACAGACATATATTTACATAATAATACAGTATTGGAGTTCAGATCCCCGTTTACGGACATTTGCGTCACGATCTCACATATCATAAATATCTTAAATATGTGTTTGTTTTCGCACAAAAAACACTCGAAACTTTTCACTTTGTCATAAATAATCTCATGAATATTCGATAGCGTCAGCGTCTGACGACGCTTTTGGAGACAAGAGAAACAGCCTTAGCATTTCAGTAGTTTGTCCAGAGGACTACTGAATACTCTATTTCACTAGTCTCAGAATTTGTAGCTGGTCGGGCGGTCGGGTAGCCTAGAGCGTTAGCTCGTCACGCCGAAGACCCGGGTTCGATTCCCGACATGGGTACAATGTGTGAAGCCCATATCTGGTGTCCCCCGCCGTAAAATTGCTGGAATAGTGCTAAAAGCGGCATAAAACTATACTCACTCACTCACTCACTCACTGTAGCTAGTTCTGCTGAAACGAGACAATCATGTTTAGGATGTTTTCATTTATGTCAGTTTTATTCAGTTGCAATATAAAGTTTATTTTCTGACTTTCGAAGGTTTGAGAAACCTTTGGCGAGAGCGAACATTCAAGGATACCGAACTGTTAGCCAGGTATTACCATCCTACAACTGTTTGATCGGGTCAGCTGGGATATCTCTTGGCCGACACAGCGTTCGGGCGCCCTAACCTACCTGTTCAAGCTTTAGTAACACTTACATTATTGTTTAAGGGTATTCTGAATCGTACTTGGCGATTTATACAGTATTTTCAAGTCAGGAGTTCTAATTTGATACACTTATCAACGCCCGACAAACATGCCGAACTGGCCGAGATTTCTATCACATCTGTTGTGGCTTTCCGAACGTCGACTGCATGTAGATTCAACTGTCAGCGGGCACTAGTTTGCCCAGAGGACTATTGGATACTCTGTTTCACTAGTCTCAGAGTTAGTAGCTAGTCGGGCGGTCGGGTAGCCTAGTGGTTAAAGCGTTCGCTCGTCACGCCGAAGACCCTGGTTCGATTCCCGACATGGGTACAATGTGTGAAGCCCATTTCTGGTGTCCCCCGCCGTGATATTGCTGAAATATTTCTAAAAGCTGCGTAAATCCATACTCACTCACTCACTTACTCAACTGTCAGCATTGGGTCCTTCCCAAATTTGCGTCCGAACCCCTGAATCTGTAACGATTTAGAATGTGTCCCCAGCAACCTATGCTACTGGCAAGGTCATATCAATCACCGGATTGTCTGGGCCAAACCCGATTGTTCACTGGCCCCCGACATGATCATATCGCAATGAGCGCCATATGATTCATTCTCGTGAACCTCTGATCGTTGTGAATCATTAAATTCGAAATGTTGGTCAATTGACTGTGTACAGAAAGACGAAAACAGTGCCTGTGATAAGCACAAACGTCTGTCAATATAAACATATTAAACCCTTTTCTCGTGTGATCGGTGTGGTAACATTTTAAGCGTGTCTACCTAATTACATCTGACTATTATCTTGATATTATGTTGTTAATGTCAAGTGTACACGGAAAACGGCTTTTCCATTGGACGAGAGGACGGTCACAGGAACGCACAACTGACGTCCATACGTTTTTCATGCGATTATATTTTTGAAATGAAGTAAACACGGATGAACTACTTCGACATTCCTAGAGACACCCCTGGGAATTCCGCCTCACCAACAAATATAGAAGCGTTGTTTCTGATCATTTAAACGCTTTACTCTTGAATTTAGAGTTGTAGCATACATTGAGATAAGTCAGAGACTTTGACTGCATGTCCGTTTACGGACATCATCGCCGCGACCAATGCCAGTGAACAAAACGAGGTAATGCACATCCCAACTATCTACTCGATCCGTGACTAGACTGACAAGTGACGGTCTTCAGCTATCTATTAATATACCTCAGTACCTATTTGACACAATTTTTATCACCTTTCAATGGTCGACCAATTGACCAGTGATGTCACACACTTGTAATCGCCACAGGTTCTACAACTTCGGAAATCTTTCCCGTCATGTTTATTGGCTCAGCAAGTTTGACGTCCTGTATTTGATTTGATTCATTGACGAAGCGCTGTCAAAGTGACTGACTTATGGAGGTAGTTCGGACCAATCCTGTACATAACCTCATGTCACTTCTCCTTTTGATGAACTATTTTATCCCGCGTTACAGTTGGTTGTTGTGTGGCTCTGGGTGTAAACAATGAGTCACGCGCACTAAATGATTTTGTGTAATAAATCTCCAAATGTACAAAATAGTGATATATGGAATTATAAGAAATTGACTTTCACTTTGTGTGAGTTCATTGGAATATGAACCGTCAAAAAGTGAGGGCCAAACTGTATGAACGTCGGAGCTTGCATTCACCAATTAACTTAAATGAACAACAATATATAATATATATAATATATATAATGTATATAATCTAGATATGACTCTCTGAACTGACATCATAAGACAAACTGGCATCAAGTAATTTTTTAATGTTGTACTAACAGGGTATGAAACTCCCAAAATTTTCAGCCAGACCACAGGACTGGCTAGCTGAAATACTTGCCAGCTCTGACCAAAACCTGCCTGCCCACTATAATCATATGTTTCTCAGGATAATTTAATTAAAACTTTAAATCGAATTCATTGAACATGAAGTAATGCAAGAAAAGAAATAGCACTTTTTAGGTCAGATTTGTATTTAATATCCTAGAATACATCATATAAATAATGCTTATCATCGGGAAATATTTAGAATATTTTTACATATGAAATATAACCCGACCGTCTGGCAGCCCGAGTTGAAATCAACCCGTCTCGGACGGTCGGGCAGGCAGGTATTTCGAACACTGGTACTAATCGACGTGTCTCTAATACATATCCCTTTCACAAATATAGAAGTTTTCGTACGTTGCTCTGGCATCTGCCCACTTGAATCCTAGGTATTCAGAAATGTAGGCCTTGCATTCCATGTCCATACAGTTAGGTTCTCTTCGTGCCCAGTTTCGGTAGTCCACAACCGTGCCATCCATCCAGATGTATTCCCCTTCGTCATACACCATCCCTATGTAGTAGGAGTCTCGCCGTCGGGTCGTGTAATCTGAAAGAGTAGCAATACTTCAAACATATACAATATGGAATTCAGTTAATTCAGTCATACATACCAACATACAAGGACCAGACAATCCAGTGATTGACTCAAGGAAAGTAATCTAGCTGGAAGATACATATGTAAAAGTGGAATCTCCAGGTTGACCTACATATATGTCCTTTCACATCCTCTCAGTTTGGTTGTACAGCAACCGAAAACAGATACCAAATTACCCATGGCCTTGGCTCACTTAATAGCATCCAGGCGGTAACACTAATGGCCATTTACGGTCTCAGATTCCTTGGTCCAGTCGTCTGAGGCACCGACAGTTTCATTAACACCTCGGTTCATATTAATTACATCCTGTATTTTTAAGGGGGCACGGGTGGTCCAGTCGTCTGAGGCACCGACAGTTTCATTAACACCTCGGTTCATATTATTTACATCCTGTATTTTTAAGGGGGCACGGGTGGTCCAGTCGTCCGAGGCACCGACAGCTTCATTAACACCTCGGTTCATATTATTTACTTCCTGTATTTTTAATTGGGCACGGGTGGTCCTGTTGTCTAAGGCGCCGCGATTCGCGATGTGCAGAGTTGCGTCCCTTAGTCAGGCCAGAAACCTATGAGTGTGGGTTCGAATCCCGGTTCGCCCCGATTATGTTTCTAGGTTTGTCAGCATCGTACCCGTGGTACAAACATGTCTTGGTAGGTTTGACTAGGTAGCGCTTCCTGGGCTGCATGTAGAGGGGGAGAGGACCCTGAGCTGATGATGAGCCTAACTAACCTGACTGTGCCAGGGTCACCCAAACCCTCTTTGCTGCATTTTTTATTTTAATCTGTAAATGATAATAATACTATAATAAAATTGACAATAACAATAGATACATTTTGGCACGAATCCCTAATACAAAAATGAAATTAATGAATATCTAAGTCTCTAATCGTATTGGTTATGATCCCCGGGCAACCCTTGTAATGTATGTATGAATCTCACGTTGTTCTATTTCATTCAGCAGGAAGTCATCTTCATCCACAGTGTTGATGGAGACCAGGTCCGCGTTCTCAGTGAGGCAGTTTTCACGGACAGTCAGCCAGTTTGCTTTCGTCATCGCAAACAGGTAGCAGTGGTCCTGAAACCTCTTGTATCCGACGGGACATGCTGCAATAGGGACAGATGCGGTGTTAGCAATGGCTATATTCATATTTCACCAAATTACTTTTGATAGTTTATGTAGAATTCAATGTTCACCCTCTGCCCAATGCGTCTCCGAGACTCTCCTATGTATGATACCCTCTGTGAGGGTACGTAAGCGCGATATAATTCAAAGTAAATTTAGTCCTACCACTCTTTCAATCGCAGAACATTGTTGCCAGCAATCGCCAGCAACGGTCCTTAGTCTGGTGGCCGATTTTTGTTGCTGACGATCTGTCCTTTATTATATTGTGGAGTAATAACTTCCTCAGTTAAATGTTCTGAAGCTAGTTTTAAGAATACAAATATTTTATACGGCCAGTTATTGTTCTGCCCATCATAGACAGATTCTAGTATACTATTATTCGCGTGTAACATTTTCTACTCCGATATTACGGAAGCGTAGAAGGGCCAAGGTGAAATCTTTTTTGTCTAAGTATCTCCTACGTAGGACTTATTATCTCTTACGTAGGACTTAGTATCTCCTACGTATGACTTAATATCTCCTTCGTAGGACTTAGTATGGCCTAGAATCACTATCTCCTACGTAGGACTTAGTATGGCCTAGAATTACTAGTAGGGCCACGGTGAATTATTTTTTGTCTAAGTATCTCCTACATAGGATTTACTATCTCCAACGTCGGACTCAGTATCTCCTATGTAGGACTTACTATCTCCTACGTAGGACTTACTATCTCCTACGTAGGAGATTCTAAGTCCTACGTAGGAGATAGTAATTCTAGTCCATACTAAGTCCTACGTAGGAGATAGTAATTCTAGGCCATACTAAGTCCTACGTAAGAGATAGTAAGTCCTACGTAGGAGATAGTAAGTCCTACATAGGAGATACTAAGTCTTACGTGGGAGATACTTAGACAAAAAAAATTCACCGTGACCCTACTACGCTTCCGTACGATATGGCTGAAATAATCATGAGGTGAGGTGAGGTGAGGTGAAATTGGGTTTAACGTCGCGTCCAAGATTATTGCACTTATATAGCGACGTGCATGCACGTGTGTGTGTGTGTGTGTGTGTGGCTGCTTGTACTAGAACGGACTGATGCCGATTTATAGTGCTAGCCCACTGAGATAACATGCCGCAGTTTAACATTAATACCCCACTCAGACACAGTATACTGACTCCGAGCCGACCAGTCCTTTCTTTAACCCCTTAATGCCGAGCGCCAGACAGGGTAACAACAAGTACCATCTTTTAACGTCTTTTGGTATGACGCGGCCGGGGATCGAACCCCGGACCTTCCGCTCTCCGGGCGGACGCTCTACCACTAGACCACGGAGGCGGTCGAAATAATCATGATGAGAAAAGTATTAATATGAGTACACGTGAAATATCTCATGTCGCTTTTTAATACGCGGCTACATGTCTCTCTAAATGTATCAAGTATCACAAATCATGAGCTTGTTTCAAAGGTACAATAACAGATAAAACCAGATACGATATCATATTTTCACCTTTTGAGACCCTTTAAGATTCGGGTTAGAATTGGTCTTCAGCAACCCATGCTTGTCGTAAGATTCGACCTACGGGATCAGGTGGTCAGACTCGGGAACTTGTTTAATTCATGTCATCGTATCCCATTTGCGTAGATCGATGCTCACGATGACAACTACTGGACTATCTGGTCGAGACTCGATTATTTACAGAGAACCTTTTTGTAGCTTGAATACTACTGAGTGCAGCGTTACAGTTTACACGTAATGTGTTTCATGATTTCTTCTTTCTGTAGTAATTACATCATTCTACAAATTCGCTTGTTGGTCGTTGCCGATTGAATTGTTTTACACGGCACAACGTATGGACATAACTATCCAAGCTGTCATTGGCAATGAGGTGTAAAATCTGACATTCGCTGATATGTTATAAACAAACATGAAGTTAGCTTAAAAAATGTAAAATAAAGTCGTACCTGGTTTCTTTGTTGTGGTAAGTGCTGCGGTTGTAGTTGGAGCAAGAGTCGTCGTTGTAGTAGGCGGAGCGTCATGTCCAGTACATTTCGTCAGCGCGTTTTCAAGTCTCATCAATCCCTTATAAGACAATTCCACCTTCTGTTAAACCACCTGTTGTCGTGTCCTCTCAAGAGCAATCTCAGTCTCAAGGAGATCAATCTTCCGCATCCTTTCCCTAAATGTCTCCTCTAACTCTTTCTTCAGTTCCTCTGTCACCTCATTTCGAACCCGCTTTTCAGTCTCTCTTATTTTCAGAATACAGGACGCTACCCCTTGTTCTTCCTCTGATCTCAAGGGTAGATGCTCCGCTACCGTTTGAGAAAATTCACAGCAAATTACAAGCATCAATATGTGACACGCAGTTGCAGACACAACCTTAGTGGACTTCATCCTTGAAACTGTTGAAGCCACTATTCAAATCACACTGTCATACAGTTACAGCACACTCCTAATTATAGACCGTTTGACGAGAAATAGCAGTAAACAAGTACTGGTTGACAGGAAGTTTCAAATCATAGTGTAGAGTTGAAACTATGGATGACTGGATAGTGAGGATAAAGGCCTATATAATATACACTTGTTAATTAAGAGCTGTTGATATGTTCAAGGGAAAATATGAAAACGTAAACGTTTCCTCGTGAATAGCAACATATTTATTTTTGCAACGATTTCTTGTCTCTTCATCTGTGTAAACATCCAGCTCATCACGCCTGATTGGCTCTCCATTTCGTTAACCCTTTTGGCGTTCCTAATACCTTCAATAATAACATCTGTACATAGTTCCTGTTCTGTGAAGCTGTTCTCTACATAACAATGACCCGTGAAGATCCGGTGTAGAGTAGGTCTTAAGCAAGTATGCTTGTCGTAAGAGGCGACTAACGGGATCGGGTGGTCAGGTTCACTGACTTGGTTGAAGCATGTCATCGATCCCAATTGCGTGGATCGTTGCTCATGTTATCAATCACTGGATTCTCTGGTCCAGACTCGATTATTTACAGACCGCCGTCATATAGCAGGAATATTGCTGAGTGCGGCGTAAAACAACAAACCAACAACCAACATCAAAGTAACTTGCTGAGCCGTAGAAGCATTATATAAATTAATTTTGCCAAACAATTATCACATTAACTGATCGTGTTGTTTCGTTTTTTGCAGGAAATCCATGAAAACAGATATTGTCAAAGATACAGGGATAAAATTAGGAATGATTGATGAATGGCTTCTCTCTGTACACCATGTGCGCCAATGTCTAATTAACAACAGTTAAAACGCTTTGCATTCAATACGTGGTACAGGTATCGTACGTCGCCTGGTGTCAGCAGTTTATTTATAGGGTTTTCACTGCTGTTTTGACTTTTGAACCCAATGGAATCTGTGTTTCCGCAAATGATCAAGACTAGTTGTTCTCTGGCTTCAAAGTTTAATAGTTCAATGTGACAGATGAAACTACTTTAGGCAATTTACTGCTTCCTGTCATTAGTTCTATCGTCCCCTATTCTGACACATTGAACATGACTATTGACTGTAGGTTGTTAGCACTGCAGTTTAAACAAGTCACGATGACGATTGCTAAGCTCCGCGCTGTAGCTACCGTGTTTTACTTGATGTTAATAACGGGCCTTGATATGGTAGAACAAAAACATAATGACACAGATTCCTGCATGCTAAGAATAAAAGAAAACGAAAGTCGCGTTCGCGTCGAAGTGGCAAGAGAGATGAGGGAAGAGATGAAAAACGAAGTGAAGTCGCAGTTCAAGCGATTTCAACTCTCAAGGAATAAGAGGGCACAACGACAGGGGGAAGTGGATTTGTCAAATGAGGTTCGAGTTCTCGAGGCTGCTCTCTTAGAGTGCACCGTGCTTGTTGTTGCAACTTCTACGACATGTCGGATAGGGAAGTCCACGATGACAAACACGTCAGTAAAACCAGGTTAGTCTTGTATTACAGGTGAACAATGAAAAGCAACCCCCTTATGACGTGTTTCAGATGGCACATATTATATATTTGTCTGCCTCTCAATAAGAAGTTACATATTATTTCGTTCCGTAGTGTCGTGTCCAGGTGGGTTTGTGAGATTTGAAGACCACTGCTACTTACTGTCACTGGAAGAAAACAACTGGACTACTGCAAGAACTACATGTCGTATCATGGGTGCCGACCTCGTCTCCATCAATACACAAGCTGAGAACGACTTTCTGGTCTCAGCAATAAAGAAATGTAAGTACTGGCATCAAGACATAATGGTTTGGTTTGTATGTTGTTGAAAGCCGCACTCAGCAATATTCCAGCTATATGACGGTGGTCTGTTAGTAATCGAGTCTCGACCAGAAAATCCAATGATTGATATCATGAAGATCGACCTACGGGATACGATAACATGCATCAAATCAAGTCAGCGAGTCTGACCACCCGATCCCATTAGTCGCCTCTTACGACAAGCATGGGTTGCTGAAGACCTATTCTATCCGGATCTTCACGGGTCCAAGACATAATGCAGGTAGTGGCGTTTCAATTTATCATGTATTGAAGTATCCAGTAGGCAGAAGCTTCATTCGATACATGATAAATTGAATCACCACTACTTACACCAGACATAATGCAAGTAGAGGTGTTTCAATTTATCATGTATCGAATGAAGCTTCTGTGTACTGAATGCTTCTCAAAAGACAATAAATCCACCAACAAAATATGAATACTTCAAAATTGATAGTGATTCATGAACACATGTAGATCCGAGTTTGAATTGTGAGAGGCGTCTACTGGGATTGAGTTGTTTGGCTTGCTGACTAGGTTGATGCATGCCATCGACTCTTATTGCGTAGGTCGATGTGCATGATGCAATCACTGGATTGTCTTGTCCATCCTAGATTATTTACAGATCACCGCCATATAACTGGTGTATTTTTAAGTGCGGCGTTATACAAGCGAAACAAACATTAACGCATACTTTTGGCATAATTGGAATCCACGATTGTGTCGCTCTTACTAACATATTTCAACTGTTCACCGTCACCGTGAGTTTATGGCCTTCCTTGCGTCAAGATGAGATAATTGAAAGAAAAAGGAATGGGCAAGAGATAGACAGCCTTATGGGCACTAGTTGTGCACCCCTCCCTGCTAATCTGTTTCTGTGTGCTTAAAAGTAGAAATAGGAATTTCTGCCTGGATTGTCAAATCAAAACAAGGCAATTTCGGTCAAGAAGTTTCACCTGAGCTTTAGGTATATCGTTGCTCTGATATCTTTAAATAATGGTCAAATAGCCTATCCCCGTCAATTAAATTTACCCTGATGATCGTAGTGTAATAAGATATTGTAACATTCCTTTGGAAATCTGTAATTTAGCATCTTTAGTAATTTAAACCATTTTAATAGCCTTTATGTGAGCGTCTATGTACAGTGGGCATCGTTCACATTTACCGTAGACGATAACATTTGGAGTGCAAGGCTTAACACCAAGAAACTTCCTACAGTCATATAATGAATCTTTTCGACTGCATCAATAACTTTTAATCCACAATTTTCCGGAGAGAGTCACTTGATTCTTAGTCAGTGGTTGTTTTATCAGTATTTCGTAAAGCTTTAAAAACGTTGGACATGTTGACTACACTTTAACGATTTCTCTCAAAACTTTGTTCAATCATTAAACCCTTAGGGTTACACATGGTCCAGTTGTCGAAGGCACCACAGTTTGTTGTGCTGATTTGGCTGTAGGATACGCTGGCCATTAGTTCGAATTTCCGATTGGCACCGAGCCTTGTAATTACCATATCCGTTACCAGTCGTTCGTAATTCCAGATTTCCCACCGGGAACCGGAGGATATATATTCTGGCTTGGGATGATCTATGTAGGCGGAAAGAACATGTGGGCTGATGGCACTGAGGTGGGCTTCACTGACTGGATTCCATCGCCGTTACCTTCCTGTAAGGGCGAACCGTGTAAGGCATATATTACAACGTATCGTTCAACCTACAAGTGGAGTGGTGGACAAAAGAAGTATGTACACTTTTCTATTTGTGAGAAGGATGCAGCCTAGAGAAGGAGCAGAAGGTTCCTCTATAGTAAATCATAAACACATGCTCAAGATGCAGTCGGATTCGGACAATCGACTTTGCTTGTCGCACAGATTTCTTGTGGCCATGGAAAGGGATGTGTCTATTGTACTTAGAGCTGTAGCAAATGGCAACGCTATATTAGAAGGATGCGTCCCAGAGGAAGGTTCTTCTCTTCAGTGGGTGTTTTGTGCTTAAGGCTAAAGAAAAAGAAATTGAATTTTAGGTGTTGTTGATATTTCGACGAGTATCGTTGTTGACGGAAACGTCCAGTGTCCAGCGGTGTTGTCACGTTTTCCTGCTCCGAGTGCCGTCCGAAAGCAAGTCCGAAGGGTGTGGCGTAAACGTGTGGAGCAGGGATCTGATCACAAATTGTTTTCAACAGTGCATCTCGTTTGCCAACTTCATTGTGGGACGCAGATAATACACCGCATGCACACATATCACGTTGTAATATGAAGCCATGTGCTAGACCTACATGGTGACTACACCTTGATCGGCACTTGTTATGAACTGTTCTCCTGTGTCTGTAGGATGATTTCATGAATGATAGGAAAGAGCTCAGCGAATATCACTTTCAAAGGCAGCAGATAAAGGACCCATGAAGATTCGGGTTAGAAGTGGGCTTCAGCAAACCATGCTTGTCGTAAGAGGCGTCTAACGGGATCGGGTGGTCATGCTCGCTGATGCGTGTCATCGTATCCCAAATTTGTGGACCGATGTTCATGGTGTCAAACACTTGATTGTCTGGTCCAGACTCTATTATATACAGGCTGTTCGCATATTGATGGAGTTCTGCGTTAAACAACAAACAAACAATCAAACAAAGAAATTGGCCGATGTTTTGGTATATTGAATGTCAATGTGTCGGTAACACAAGCGGTGAAGCGTCCTGCTCCACACATACATGTCTTGTGGGTATTCACACGGGTGTACGTCTTTCTGGTTACAAATCGCCTTAACCACCTATCGTAATGTGCGTGTAATTTCTACAGAATGGGTGATTTTGGTGATGTGTCTGGTGATCAAGCTGACACACTGACATAACGGAAATACTGTTCAAAGCAGTGTTAAAACCTCCTCACTCACGACCAATGGACGCTTGTCTTGAAATTTGACCAATATAGGTGTAACATGCAGTGTGAATGTAGCACATAGAAATACTGTGTTAGCCAAAGACAAGAGTGGGTGAATGACAATGAAAACAATAGTGCCACATGCACTCGCACGTGGAACAACATGGACAGCGAATTCAGACGCAGAAATGCGCACACACAAACACACCACACATGGACATTAAAATGAGACAAACACGGGAACGAGCATGGGCATAAACAATTTATGTAAAAAATTTTTTTAAAGATTTTTGTCACTAAAGGGCACTTACATTAACCGGAAAGAACGGACATAACCAATTACATGGCAATTGTCCTCGTGGACGGTCATGACTAAACATAATCACATCCACTTAATGTTTAATGACTTCATTGACGCCCACGATGATCCGAGTTCGTACACAATGAGTGAAAACCACAATTGAGTTTTGGAATTACGGAAAACCTAAAAAAGGCATACACAATTCCAATTCAATGTGTTACTTAATTGTTAGATTTATTGATTGCAAATACATTACACAGGCCTAGCAAAAATAACACCAGAGAGCAAATAAACTGTGTGTTAATGTACACAGTAACCATAAAGTTTGACCAAGGTGAGCTTAGGCCATACCGTGGCAAATGGTAGCGTTGACAACTTGGGAATTCCATAGTTTGGTTGATCTCGGTTGGTTTTCTTTGGTAAACGTGAATTAAACAGTAGGGTACTTACTTACACATGTATCTTCAGATCGAAAGCTAGAACAATCTCATTAAAATCAAATCTTAGTTCTCGCTATCGCTAAACAAAGATCTGAGGACATCCCATAAGGGTCACGTCAGAACGACCTTTCATCCGACCAATCAAAGCGTCGCTTACCAGATCATGAAAGTGGCAGTCGGAATGTGATTTCTAAACATGCAACCTCGAAAACGTTAAAACGGGGTATTCCGAACGACAGTTACGGCCCGTACGACTGATTCCGTCAAAATTATCGTCTGTCTCTCGCTTCCTTAGGATAAACATTTGAACGGAGGAGGGGTTGCACAGTACGTGGGAAGCACTGCCATACAATCGTAACCACATATTAGACATTCCGGATTGTTCTTTTGTTCAGTTTTCAAAATTTTAATCGAGAACTGTGTCAACATATTTTTCAAGCGTATTCTGAAATGGAAGTCGCCCGGTTGAAACAAGTGCCGTTAAGCTCGAGAAAGCTGCTTTCTAATTGGATGATGTCGACTTCTTGTTCTTCGTTTCAGTGGTCGGTCAAAGTTCGCGAAAGGTCGTTCTGACGTGACCCGTAATGGGATGACCTCAGATCTTTGTTTAGCGGCAGCGAGAACTTAGATCTGATTTTAGTGAGATTGACGCTAGAATCGTCAGCTTTTGGTCAGCGAATAGGGTCAGAAGATGGTAAAGTTACGGTAAAACGAAATACTTCACTCAGAAACACTGACCAATAGGAAATTCATGTTCAGTTAATGCGTAACGCACCTTTTACGCCTAAAGCTGCCTTGTACATGTGAAGCTAGTCGTTAGCTAGACTAGTTATTTTACGCGTACAGCGATTTTTTACGAGTAAAGGTGGTGGTTTTATGCGTAAAGCTAAATTCATTGGGCGTAAATATGTTAACCGATGAAAAATAAATGCACCATTATACGTAACACACTTGGCTGTGAACATTCCAAGGGCACCAGGGGAAGTGTTTTGTGTTATACCATTTAAAACAATCACGCTATTCCCAAGTCACAACGGGGTAGATGGGGCCCAAATGAGACACTGTATTTTGCCCACGGTAATGACATTTCGACCCAGGCTATTGCATCTCTATACCAAAACCACAGCTTCACAGGGTAGTCGCCTTGACGAGTGCTCAGGTCCACACTGTAGTTATAGTTTTACACTTGATGATGATAGTGAGCCTTGATGCCGTAGAACAAGAACAAAACGACACAGCAGGCACATATAGTGTGTGCAACATTTAAACACAATGCCCTCGAAATGCCCAAATGGACAATAAGATGGTCGTGTGTAAGCAAGTAACATTAATGTCATTAAGATGTCATTTAAAGACGAATATACATAACAATTAAACAATGTGAAAATTGATATGTAGTAATTGTGGTATGTTTGGTTGTGTATGAAGAATCAACTTCATGTACCGCTGCGACTCCCAATGATATCACGGAAGTCTTGATGAAGTATAATTCTGGCGGTCTTTTCACGAAGCTGTCTTAGCGATAAGACTGGCGTAAATGTGTCATAGCGAAAAACGTCTTAGCTAAGTCTATTCTCGAAGCTGTCTAAGCGCTAAGTTATCTTAAGTTTAAGACAAAAACTAAGACGGGGTCTGACCTGTCGTAAACCTGTCTTAGGTATCCATCATGGCGTCCTACCTATTGCTCGGACTTCTCGACAGAGAAAAGCAATCAACCCTAACACATTCCGGGAAGAAAATATTCCGTGACAGGAGTCGGCTGGACACGCAAGATGACACGCAGCTTATATCCAGATATAGGCTAAATCGGCATGCCATCATGCAAATTAATGCGAGTGTGGGGTCCTACCTCGAACGAACGACCAAGCGTAATTCTGGCCCTCTGCATAGTTTTGCATGTATCATTGTGTCATTTAATTAATATTCAGTTGGATGTCGGTGTATATATTACTGAAATTTATTTGCTATTCCTTCTCTGTCGTGTAGCTTCTCTCTATATCTTCTCTAATTATGGCGGTGGTCGGGTACAATGTGTGAAGCTCATTACTGATGTCCCCCGCTGGGATATTGCTGGAATATTGCCCAAAGTGGGCACTCTTATCATGTCAATCCGATTTATTGTGAAAGGTAAGGTGAAATAAAAATAGCTTCATTTAGTAGTGCTGGTTTCGTGAGATTTGAAGACCACTGCTACATACTAGAACTGGATAAAACCCCAAACTGGGGCTCTGCAAGAAGCTGAGTGCCGACCTCGTGTCTATCATACAGAAGCTGAGAACGACTTTCTGATGGCGAAAATATAGGAATGTAAGTACGGACGTCATGGCCTTATGCAAGTTGACGAAGCTGTCTTTTCATGTGTCCCTCTGTATGGCCAGACCTTATGTCTGCTTATGGTTTCACAGTTCAGTCCGTGACCTTTCAGCCTTTTTTGTTTGTATTTCGAAAAAGAGAAGAACTTGAGTCACATTTTAATCGTTAGTTGTGACGTGTTAGTACTATATCCGCGCTCATGGGTTTCATAACGTCTAAGAAGCTTCTATAGGTTCTATAACAAAGATACTGTTAATGTAGGCGTACATCGCTTATCACCAACTCATTAGTTCCATAATCTACACTTACGAAGGTCATTCCCATTGTGAACTGCTGTTAGACTTGAGCGTCTATAAAAGGAACATGAAGATATTTTCAAATGGATATGTTGTGATCAGTTAAAGACTACCCGACTGGCCATGCCGAGATAAAACTGGAATACTGTTCAAAGCGGCGTTAAATAGTTGACGCTATGTACATTCGACACGTAGCAGGGTAACGTGTTTGTGTCCTTCCATTTAAAAGAATTACAATATTCTAAAGTGATATTTAACGCCAGTAAATGGCCAACTGCGAAACACTGTATTGCCCACAATAATGACCTGGGTGAATGCTGTCATCTAAAATTACTTACATAATAAACGACTTCCTGTAATTAGATATATCCCTCCCGTATAAAAGCATACACACAAACTGACATTTGGACACCACAGCTTCACAGAGTAGTCGCGATGACGAGTGCTAAGCTCCACTCTGCAGCCGTTGTTTTATACTTGATGTTGATAGCGAGCCTAGATGCCACAGAACACAAACAAAATGACACAGATTCATGCATTCTGAGGCTAAAAGAGAACGAAAGTCGCGTCCGCTCGGATGTGATAAAAGAGTTGAAGGAAGAAATAAAAGAGGTATTTAAGTCTCAGTTTAAGCGATTTGAGCTCCTAAAGAATGAGGTTGCTGTTGAAAAGGCACGACAGCGTGTGATGGAGGAGAAGGTGGATTTTTCATATGAGGGCGTTCAGAAACTCGAGTCTGCTCTCTCACAATGCACAGTGATTACAGCAACTCCTATCACGGTCGCAAACACCACCACCACCACCACCACCACCACTACGACGACGACGACAACTACAGCAAAACCAGGTAAGGTACATATTGTGTATACAATAATTAAGCGACCCGTAAAGATCCGGGGTAGAATAGGTCTTCAGCAACCAATGCTTGCCGTAAAAGGTGACTCTGCTTGTCGTAAAAGGCGACTAACGGGATCGTTTGGTCAGGCTCGCTGACTTGGATGATGCATGTCATCGATCCCAATTGCGTGGATCGATGCTCATGATATTAATCACTGGATTGTCTGGTCCAGTGCGGCGTTAAACAACAAAGCAACCAACCAACCAATAATTAAGCGCACATATGGAACAATAATTCAAGATGGTCGTGTGTTAGCAAATGTCTTAAGGCTTCTGTTCACTGTGACATTAAAGGACAAATGTACACAAAAATTAAACAATGCGAAATTTGATATTTAGTAATTGTATGATGTGACAACAAGTCATGTTATATTTTGTTGTGTATTGTGATATTTGTAATGACTTCAAATTTGACTTTTAGGTACCACTGCGACAGCCAATAGTATCAGGGTAATCATGATGAAATACAGTTGTGGCCCTATGCACAGTCAGTTATATATGCATCATTGTGTTATTTAATTAACATGCAGAGGGAATGTCTGTTTATACATTTCTGAAATTTACTTTCTGAAATTTACTTTGCTATTCCTTCTCTACCCTGTAGCTTCTCCATCTGTCTTCTCTAATTATGTCAATCCCATTTATTGTGGAAAGGTGAAAGAAACTTAATTTCATTTTGTAGATTTGTGTGCAGCTGGTTTTGTGAGATTTGAAGACCACTGCTACATACTGGAACTGGATAAAACCAGCTGGGCTTCTGCAAGAAGTAGATGTCGTATCATGGGTGCCGACCTCGTCTCTATCAATACACAAGCTGAGAACGACTTTCTGTTGGCTCAAATAAAGGAATGTAAGTACGGACGTCATGTCCTAATGCAAGTTGACGAAGTTGTGTTTTCATTTGTTCCTCTGTATGGCCAGACCATATGTCGTCTTATGTTTTCACAGTTCAATCCAAAATGCCCGAATTCCTTCTCAATCCTTCCTATCCCTAAAATTAAATACTGGACATTTTCTGGGACTTAGAAGACGCACAGGTGGCCCAGTTGTCTAAGTTGGCTCAATTCATTAAACTGAGTTGCGTCCAGTTGCTGTGTTAGGATGTGCTGATCCTGGGTTCGAATCTCATGTTCGCGATCGTTAGTTATGATTTGTTAGTACCATATCCGCGCTCGTGGGTTTCACCAAAGGTTAAGAAGCTGCCAATCGGTACGAGAACGAAATTATTGTTGAAAGAAGCGTTAATCCCATATCACTAACTAACTTGTGCCTGAAACAATAGGGCAACTTATTTCATCAACTGCAATTATGAAAGGCATTACCACTTGAGCCGCTGTTAGACTTGAACGTCGATCAAAGGAGCTTTCATATATTTGTAAAAAGAATATGTTGAGATCGGTTATATGTAATTTCAGACTTCCCGCCTGACCAGAAGACTAATGCTTATTTCTGGATGGGAATGATGCATGTTGGCGGAAAGTACACGTGGCCTGACGGCACTGAGGTGGGCTTCACTGACTGGCTTTCGGCAGGGGAACCAAACTGTATGGATGGGAACTGCAAAGCATTCATTACAACATACGACTATGCATACAAGTGGGAGGATGCCCGAAGTAGTTATGACTTCTACTCTATCTGTGAGAAGGATGTTGCCTAGAGAAAGGAACGGAAGATACCTCTCTTCAGGGAGTGTTTTGTACTGTAAAGCTAAGGCAAATAAAACTATTTAGTTTTCTGTAATGTTATTTCTATTTGCATACTTTATTCCATGGTTGTATGTCAATACAATTTTTACGAAACTCCCACCAATTTCCTTTACATAGTGTTCGTGAAATCAGAATGACACACACACTCGTGTGGTCGTTTCATTAGCATCCACGCATTATGCTTATTCTTCTATGCTGACCCAAATCGAGAAACAAACAGTGTCAATCGTCATCACTGATGATAGCATGTGATATCATCATCTTGCTTTACATCATGGCATATAACGTCAACAATATGTGGAAAACGTCAAAAAATATATATATATTTTTCCGAATTGTTACTTCTACCAGGGAGTCTATATGTCTTTGTATGGTGTCCCTGCTTATACATACTCAAGCTTGCTGACGCACGAACGCACACACACACACACACACACACACACACACACACACACACACACAAACACACACACAAACACACACACAAACACACACACACAGACTTTCGACGGATTTTCTGTTAGTTGTAACGATAATAAAAATAATGTTATGAGAGGATAAGAGAATAATTTGGACGAAATGTGGGTTCTTTGGTAGACATACAAAATCTTGTCAACATTTTGATAATTGTTTCATGGTATAGCATTTAAATTCGAATTCGTGGGCTCATCATTTTCATCCCCAAAGAGATGGAATAATGAATAAATAATGACAAACTTCATAGTTATACAGTGCCGGGTTCCAGCATTTGCTCAAAGGCGCTTAGTCAAAGGTTCTGCAGAAGAGAACTAGTTTTAGATGTTTAGTCCATGCCACAGTAATGGCGAGAGATCTGTCTCCGTAGTTAGCTGTGCTGGTTAATGGTACAGTGACTTGTCGTGATGTTGACGGTCTCAGAGCTCGCTTTGGTTGGTACCAGTAGAGAAGATCATTGACTGTGGCTTTGGGAATCTCATACTAATTGACAAAGGTAGGGTGAGTAAGTCAAATTTGAAGTCATTACAAATATCACAATACACACCTTCATTCACAGTGGCTGGATTTCATTCCTGTGATAGTTAAGGTTAATAGTGTAATCACGTGATTAACAATCCGTTGATCTACAACATATTACGACAAGGTGACACTCTGACTCATTACATCAAAAATAAAGCATGAACATCTCTGTCACAGTACACTATTGAACACATCTACCTAACTCTTTACCGTGAAGGTTTTGCAAGGAATATCGGGGTATCAATAATACCTCCATAAAGTAAGTAGTACTGGTGTACATATGGACAGTTGTAATATATTTGCAACATGCTTTCATTTTTAACAGTTTCCAGGAGGAAATATTTTATCAATATGGTATGTACATGTATGTGTCATCAACGGTATTCGGAAAACCCCCCAGTGAAACATAAATTAACATAACATGAATTTCAATAAAACTGTCAGTATATTTGCATTGGTCTCCTAACACAACCGTTGTAAGAAAATTATCGATGTTGTTTGATGTAGTTAAATAAGTCGATTTTAAAGATAAGATCGGGAAGAGTTACTTCGAAGAGTTACTGCGTTGCTGCAGCGAGTCAGCGTAGGTACGTTGAAGACACTAGATGATGGAAAACAGCCTGGGGAATGAGGTTTCAAATGTCAACCAAAGATCAGCCCAAATGAGCTGGTTCTAGACCTGTCGTGGGCTTCGATACATCTCATCCCATGCATGTTCTATGGGGGGAGACGTTTGGCGGAACAGCCGGTCATGACAGTACAGGATGATAAAGCTGTCATCTAAAAATATTTGATATCATTTACAATCTCATATCATTACTTCTATCGTCCCTCATATTCCACAACGAAACTCACGCTTTAACCAAGACTATGGGGTGCAGAAGGTTACACCACAGCTATATATAGTATTTGCGATAACGAGTGCTGAACTCCAAGCTGAAGTATTATACATGATGTTGCTAGTGAGCCTTGATGCCATGGAACATCACCAAACGACACAGATTCGTGCATTCTGAGGGTAAAATAGAACGAATGTCACGTTCGCGCGAAAGTGATAAAACAGTTGAAGGAAGAGATGAAAGAGGAATTAAAGTCTCAACACAAGCTCCTGAAGAATGGGGTTGCTGTGGAGAGACAGCGGTTGACAGAGAAGGTGACTTTGCCTTTGACTTTGTCATATGAGGGACTACAGAAACCCGAGGCTGCTCTCTCACCGTGCACGGTGATTACAGCAACCCATATCACAGTCGCAAACACCACTACTACAACCACATTACTAAACTACCGGGCAAAAGAAAGTTTTCACCGACTTCACTTGACCAAACACCGAAAACAAAGGCATATGTGAGATTTATGATGATTAATTCATAAACAAAAATCATTTTCCATGAATTAGAATGTTAATGCATTGTAATGCCGATATTGCATTCTCCGCAATACACAAAGAAAGAGTCAAGGGGTCCAAATTAAAAATTACACAAATCAGAGTTCATTGAAAAAGTGCATGAAGAGTCCATTAATGACACAGTAGTCAGGTAACACGTCATCAATAGCCAGTGTGACCACCCTGGGCATCCATGCACGCCAACACACGCCTCCTCATTGACGTCGTCAGTCGGCGGATAAAAATATAACGTCAACAGGAATCCTGTTCCATAAGTTCAATAGAGTCTGTTCAAGTTCCTGTCGGTTCGCTGGAGGCGGTACATGTTGTCTCAGCTGACGATCAAGATGATCACAGAGATGTTCAATGGGGTTCATGTCTGGAGAACAAGGTGGCCAGGGCAATACGTTGACGTTAACGTTGTTCAGGTAATCTTGAACAACTAGGGCGGTGTGAGGCCTTGCGTTGTCTTGTTGCAAAATTAATCCTCTTGGCTGATGTTGAATAAAGGGCACCACAACAGGTCTCATCGCTGAGCGTTCAGGTTTCCTCGGATGATAACCAGCCGTGTTGTAATCTGGACACAAATGCCTCCCCATACCATGACGCCTCCACCTCCAAACGGGTGAACTTCTCTAATGCAATTTGGCGCCAGTCGCTCTCCCCTTCGTCGAAAAACTCGAACTCTGCCATCGTTCCTGAACAGACAGAACTGACTTTCATCTGTAAAGAGCACTCTCGCCCAGTCACGTCGCTGCCACCGACGTACAGTTCGTGCCCATTGCAGTCTGCGTTTGCGGTGTAGACAGGTCAAGGCCATTCCACAGAAGGGTCGGTAGGCTCATATACCAGCCGTACGAAGTCGTCGAAGGACTGTTCGTCTGCTGATGGCATGCCCTAGTGCTGTTGCCGCCGTTGACGTCGCCGTCACACATCTGTTTCGGGGGTGAATCTGCCGGATGTAGCGGTCTTCGGCCGGTGTTGACACACTCGGTCTTCCCGATCTTGGCCGGTCTTGAGTCTGTCCTGTCTGTTGGTAGCGGATTATCAACTTGCTGATGGTGGTCTGGGAGCAGTTGATAGTTCTGGCTATCTGACGTTGAGTAGTCCCCATATTGGCCATACCGATCACTCTGTCTCGTTGCGCGTGTGTAAGTCCGGGCATATTCTTGGTGTTTTTTTGCTACCTGAATGCCTGCTCTGTCCAACGGCGGTATTTATGCCACAATCACGCACGTGCATTTGGACCAATGTCTCAAAATCACGTTTTGCACGTTTTCAACAATGCATGATTTGGAAAGCTGCGTTCGAAAATGTGCGTTGTGGTTGTGGTCATGTTACATTTGGGCGAATGTTTTCAGAGGGGGTTCAAACCTGTACCACCTTTTTTGCTTTTTATACAACTATTTTGCTCAGGTGGACAATAATTCAACATGTATGCAATGTCATAATGTGTAAGTACATATTGACAGGTTCTTTCTTAAAGGGCAGTTTTCTCCACTGTAGTTTGGGAGATCCACACAAATCTTAAACCTTGTTCTCGCCACAAAGAACATGTAACATAATCATTATTGTTGTAATTATTATTATCACCTAAACAGCCCTTAACCGCAAGGTAACTACACTGTTCCCAAATCTGTTTTCTCAAACCACGTTCTATGTAATAAATGCTTAGCAGCTTAAGTAAATATATATATATATATATATATATATATATATATATATATATATATGATACTATCTCCTTAAAGACGAAGGGCCTCTTAATTGTGTAACTAAATTACTGAGAACCACATGCTTGCCGTAAAAGGCGACTATGCTTGTCGTAAAAGGCGAGTAACGGGATCGGGTGGTCAGGCTCACTGACTTGGTTGATGCATGTCATCGATCCCAATTGCGTGGATCGATGCTCATGATATCAATCACTGGATTGTCTGGTCCAGACTCGATTATTTACAGACCGCCGTCATGTAGCTGGAATATTGCTGAGTGCGACGTTAAACAACAAAGCAACCAACCAACTGAGAACCACTTTCTGGTGGTAAGGAATGTAAGTACGGCAGTCATGTCCTGATGCAAGTTGACGAAGCTGTCTTTTCATGTGTTCCTATGACTTAAAAGAGCATGTGTCTACTTCTAGTTTCATAGTTTAATCCGTGTCCCTTTAACCTCCCGTTGGTGTATTTCGAAAAAGAGGAGATATGTAAATAACTCATATCATATGTTCGCCCCGATTACGATCGTTGGTAATGATTTGTTAGTACCATATCCGTGCTCATGGGAATTACAACGTCTATGAGGCTTTCAATTGGTGCTAGAACGAAACTACTGTTAAATGAAGCATTAATCACATATCACCAAATCACTAATTCCATAATCTGCAATTATGAAAGCCATGCCCATGTGAACTGCTGTTAGAATTGAACGTGGCGATATTTTGTACAATGGGTGTATTGTGATCAGTTATGTGTTATGTCAGACTACCCGCCTGGTCACGCCTTGATATAACCGGAACACTGTTCAAAGCGGCGTTAAACGGCTGAAGCTCTGAACATTCGAAGCGTAATGGCATGGGTAAGTGCTGTCATCTAAAAGTACTTAAAATAATCAACGACTTCCTATAATTAGATATTTCCCTCCCTTATAACA